GTCAAGTCTCATGCCTATAATTCTAGCACTCAAGAAGCTGAAGGAAGAGGATTCTAAGTTTGAGGCTAGCTGGGTCACACAGTGAATCTCCAGCCAGTTATGGCTACATAGTGAAACCATGTCCCAAAACACACAAAAACAGATGAACTGTATTATCTATGAGTTACAACTCACAAAAGAAAAGCTAATGTATGATTTAGGAGAGTGGTTGGCAAAGGAGTGCTCAGCACATGTTATCTATCACTTAAGTGGTGACAGACCACTGCCTTAAAGTAGAATACGCTAAGAGTATCTTATTTTATACAAAGCATCCCCAGGGCTGGAGAGATGGCTCAGTGTTTAAGAGCACTGGCTGCTCTTCCTGAGGACCTGGTTCAATTCCCAGCACTCACATGGCAGCTCACAACTGTCTGTAACTCCAGTTACAGAGGATCAGGCACCCTCACACAGACATACATGCAGACAAAACACCACGCACATAAAATAAATAAATAAATTTTAAAAAAGCATTCCCACATTAAGATCCCCAATTTCATTCAAGGGTACTTTTGGGAAATGACAGAAATGTTTCATTCCTTCATTAGAATATAAGGTGGATGAGCTCTCTGTTCAGCAAAATTCAATGAGAAATCCTTAAAAAATCAGAATATTTGACTACATATAAAATAACAAAATAAAAGAAACAAATCCAATGTGTCCATCTAGCTCTTTTCATTTTCTTGAAGATAAAAAACAAGGCTAGGTCAAACAAATGGACCTTGTGTTATGATACTTTGATGAAATAAATTCAGACCTTTAATGCTATAGGATCAAGATTGAAATCCCAAACATCTCCAATCAAATCATCCAGTGCGTCCTCAATTCTTCTCAACTGAGATGTATACTCCTCAAGGAATTTCCCATAATTCTTAAGTTGAACTTCAGCATGAATTTCTAAATTTTGAAACAGAATGTTACAATTACAAAGAATGAACGGCAGAATACTAGTTTCAAGTAATCTCAAAAACTGCAGCAAAACACTGTTAATTATTACTTTGTAGTGCCTCACTTCTTGGAAATAAAGTTCCAAAGTTAAAAGAGTCATTCAGCTTTAAATTTTCTCCAAATATGTGAAAGTACTTGAAAACCAGCAGCCCCTTACCCTAGGACCCAGGTAACCAGCCTGAGTCACACCTCAGACAACGCAGGGTCCAGAAGCTATACTATTTTTTAGTCACACACACCTCTGTTGCAAAGGATTATCAACTACCTGATGGGAAGCAGGTATAAAACTCTGTGTTGTTACAGAGCAAATTTTAAAAAGTTGGCTAACTCTATACATATTAAAATGTTAAAAAAAATATCCAAATCTTTTTTACATGGAGGTTTTAGACCTGCTACATTATATTATTATTTCTGTAATTCCCAGCTTACCAAAATGCTTTAGACTTGTTCAGTTATTTAGCTATTATAATCAAGATGCAAAGGCCAGATAAAACATACTGGCTGAGGCAGGGCTGGAGAGATGGCTTATCCATTAAGATCACTGGCTGCTCTTCTAGAACACTGAGGTTGAGTTCTCAGCACTCATGTGGCAGTTCTGTAACTCTGGATCCAGGGGATCCAATACCAACTTCTGGCCTCTGCAGGTACTGCACAAACATGTAAAATAAGAAAACAATATAAAAAATAAAAAGACAGCTGGGATTTACAGAATTTAATATTAGTAGATGACTTTAGGCTTAGAGCCACTGGAATAAATTGGATTTTTCAGAAGCCTATTCACCAAAATTAATAAACATTTCATCTTATACTTAAGAATGTTACTTATTCAAAAAATTCAGCCGGGCGGTGGTGGCGCACGCCTTTAATCCCAGCACTCGGGAGGCAGAGCCAGGCGGATCTCTGTGAGTTCGAGGCCAGCCTGGGCTACCAAGTGAGTTCCAGGAAAGGCGCAAAGCTACACAGAGAAACCCTGTCTCGAAAAACCAAAAAAAAAAAAAAAAAAAAAAAATTCAATTCCAGTTCAATTTCTTTTACTGATATATATAACTTTATTCAGTCTTTGTCTTCTAAAAAAATTTTTTCCCTTCAAATTTGAAGTGTGGAGCCCTTGTGAAATATAGTATTTCTGACTCATACTGTATGGAATACAGACACCTGACCTTTAATCTGCAGCTGAATCAGGGGCATCAATTCAGTTCACTAAGACTTCTGTCTCATGACTGCACTCCTTTAGTTAATTTTGGAAAACAATTAGTCTAGATATGATTCACAGTCCAAAAACTAATGAAAGCCAGGCACAGAGAAATCTATTACCTACAGCTAACAACTCCATGTTAATGTCTTACTCTATTATACTAAATGACCAAATTATCATTTGACCAGCAAATGGATTCTTGAAAGACTAAACTAGAAAAACATGCTCAAAGATCACCTGGTTAGACCAAGGTAAAAAACAACTGAAAACCTGCAGAAACACTTAAGTTCCTTGCTGATAAGATATTGAATAACTGTGAACAAATAAAAGTTAAAGTGCAAACCAGACTTTTCTCCCAGCAAACTGCACTTCTTGGTTTATTTTTCTTAATGGCATTTTCACACATATGTGTGCTTATATTGAGTCCTCACCCATGCTCTCAGTCCTGTTTTCCCCAAACCTCTGGAGTCTAATAAAATGCCCACATATTAATATGATAAATTAACTGGTAATTCATTCTACTGCAAGCTGAAACACTTTCAAACCCAATACATCTTCATTCCAACTTTGGTCAGATGCAAAAACAAAAAACAAAAAACCACCTGACAAGATGCAGTTCACTTTAAAACCAAAAATACAAAAAAGAAAAATGGTTATTATCCTTCCACCCATATTTTTCTTCATTCTGGATAAGACCTAATACCTTAAGAAATGCTTACTCAAAGTCTGCACAGCACCCTGAAGTAGTCCAACTGGATGTAGAGGCAAATATAACCTAAGTACATACAAATCTGTACATGTTATAATCTCTAAAATAGTTCACGACTCTGCTGTAGTTTTTTTAAATGGCATTCCTACTCTGGGGAAAGATGTGAATCTAAAAAATTCTCAAACAACTTGCCCTAATTTTTCTCTTCTGTCACACAGAAAACAAAAAAAAAACAAATCAACCTCAAGAGTTTCTCTAATATAACTAGACTGGCTTGTACATTTTGATGAAAGAAACTGTAAGGCTTTGAGGATTGGACTTCTGATTTTAAAAATAAAATCGGACGACTCGATTTCATTAAACAACTGCAAAGCAGATCTGGTAAAAAATAAAACAAACTTAAAAAAAACTTTTCAGCTGCAATGACAATTACAGGTTTTTAAAAAAACATAAAAATCAATACAAGGCCTAGAAGGGATAACATGATATTCCCGTGTTGACTGATGTTTTTGGTTTTAATGCCAGGTAGAGCTGTTTTTCGCTCTTCCATGGTTCTAAGAACGTGAACCCAAACTTCAAAAGTTGGTTTGAGAAGCAAAAAAAAAAAAAAAAAAAAAAACAGGAAGCCGAAACAGGAACCCAGACTCTTCTAGAACTGAAGGTTCAGAGCATCTGGCGCAAGCCCTGGGATGGGATGGGCAACTCGGGAGGCTGGCCTCTAGCGGCGGGCCCCAGGGACCGGTCCCCGCTGGCCGGTTCCCGTTACCGGGAGGGACGCCGGGCACGAGCGGGCGGACGCGACCCCGGCCGTCACACAGCACCGCGCGCCCGGTCCAGCCCGCGAGAGAGTCCCGGGTGGGCGGCTGCACAGCACCGCACCGCGCCGTCCTCCCCGGGCCGCGCCACCCGGGCCGCCTCGCCCGACCGCAGTCTTACTCTGCGAGCCGTCGTCCACGCGGTCGAACTCCCAGTCCGGCGACAGAGTGTCCACGGCCATCGCCGCGGCGCCTCCCACAGACACGGCCCCGAGCAGCCACCGCCGCGCCGCAGGCCTCACCCCAGCCGCTGTCACGCCACGTGACTTCCGGCCTCGGCCCCGCCCCCGCGCGCCGGAGCCAGCGGACTCTCGGCCCTGCGGACCGCGGGCGCCGCTGGGAAAGCGAGTCCGTCCGCCTGCGCCCGTCGCTGCCGCCATAGTGACGGTAGCTGTTGGCATCCTGCATCCTTTCTCTGGCCTCGTTGCCGTTTGCGTCTGTTCTCAAGCTACATTCAGTTTCTCCTTGCTGCGTCCGGGCTGTTTTTAATACCTAAGGGAGTTATCAGTCTGACGTGGAAAGAGTGGAAATAAGGGGGTGGGGCCCAACGCAAAGACAGGGTCCTTCACTAAGACGCTGCCCTGGCCCGTGGACCAAGAAATCTGTCTCACTAGCTCCCATTCTGTCTTTACTAAACCTCGCGGTTCCTCCGCCCCCGTGCACGTCCTGTCCCAATTGTTTTTGCTTTTGTTTTGTTTTTTGAGAAAAGACCTCTGTGTGTAAAGAGTAGTGACTTTAGGAACGCTACCAAACAACCTCACTGTGGGCTTGCTTTATACCTACTGTTCTTCCTTGTTTTTAAGAAGGTGGGGTGGGAATTGTGTTACCCCGAGTTCTACATTTATCCTAAAGTTTACACAAAAAGCTATATATCAGCTCGGTTTTTAGTAAGTGCTGATACGAAACAGTCTAAATATTCATCAAAAAGTAATAATGTAAAAACTTAGGGCATCCATACTCCGAATTCCTAGAGAGCTGTAAAATGAAATAGGTCTCGAATGGCATAAAAAAACAAGACAGGAGGCGATTTTAGAACAATGCATATTTGCCGTTAAGTTACAATCTCTGCAAACATGCATATATTCTCATGTGTTTGCAAATACATAGGAAGAATTCAAATCTCATTAAACAAGACAATGGTTTACTTGGGAAAGAGCAGGTGCTGATAAATACAAAGTGGCTCTTAAATTTTTCTTGTGTCTATTAGCTGAATCTTTTGCAAGTAGAGTTTTTAAAGTTATTTGCATTATAAAGTACCAAAAATCAATATAGAAATTGAAAAGCATATTCTGAGATGTTGAGGTTTGGACATGGTTTTATTTTTGAGACAAGATCTCATTATTATAATTGAGCAGCCCTGTTGCTCCTGGGCTATGGAGTGAAACTCGTTGGGTTTCTTTCTGTAGCTTGTTTGATTCTGTCAGCATTCTTTAGGTTCCATATGGTAGCTGTTGGCAGCTTCAGGCTCACATTATCACAAGGCTAAATCCAGCCTAGGAGAGAAAAAGAGCACACTTAACTGATAGCTCAAATAAAAGTCCCAGAATCAAGTCTTGCCAGTAGCGATTAGCCTTTCTTGGTACTTGAGCACACTTTTCAGCCAGTCTTGGAAACCGAAAGAACGGGAGGAATGGACTGATTGATTTAGTGTAGGTCATATGCTCCACGGATGCGATGAACACAGGAAGAGGCAACTCTACAGGAATCACTTGGCCTGGGAGTGGAGGAGATGGAAACGGTGTTACCACCAAAAGAGGATGTATGTGGCAGGGGAAGCTGTGACAGCGGTTACACGGCTGAGCCAAGTATCTCACGGTGACTACGGGTCAGTATTGGAGTTAGTAATCAATTATTACAGCAGGATGGTTTTCTAAAAGTACTATTTCAGAATTCCTTTTGGAGTAATTTTATTATTTAGATGCTTACATTTAGAATTCTAGGTAAAAGAACTTCTAGGACTTTACTAACAGCTACCATTTATTTTGTGTTTATTGCATAATCCATAACAAGAGGTTTGTTGTTGTTGTTGAGCCCATGGAGCCCAGACTAACCATGAATTCTCTAACTGAGGTTGGCCTTGAATTCTCGATCTTCCTGCCTCTATTTGCTAAGTGCTGGGATTACAGGCATGTGCCAACATGCCTGGCTTTGTTATTTTAAAAAGAAAAAATCTGGAGGAAAGTTGAAAAATGGACAACGCAGAGCATGATGATCTGTAAAAAGCAAAAGTCTTGGCAGAAATGTTTGGGGGAAAGCCAAGAGTCTAAGAAAACATTTATCACCAAAGGTTGATATGGTGTTTAAATGTAACTATAATTTCATGCTATGTCAGCTAGACATTTCCACAGGAACTTTACATGGACATCTGATCAACATCGTTGAATCCACAACTGAATTCTGGGTATTTCACTCTGAAACCTGCTTCCCACCCTGTGTGAGATCTGTGGCTTACTTAGTAAATAGCTGTACAACCCACCTAGGCCAGGCTGGGTACTATGACAACACCTTCTCTTTCTCATCTTCTTGCTCTAAATCAGTGAAAGTTTCTATCAATCTTATTGTTAAATGTGAATGAAATGCAAAAGTTGTGAATGAAATGCAAAAGTTGTGAATGAAATGCAAAAGGTGTCAGGATCAAAATGGAATCTCATGAGGGTAAGATGGCCCAGCAGGCAAAGGTGCTTGCCACCAAGCCTGACAGCCTGAGTCCAACCCCTGGGGCCCATATACTGAAAGGAGGGAATTGACTTCTGAAGTTTGTCCACTGACATCCCCATGCATGCCCTGAGTTGTACATAGAGAAATAAAATGTTAAAATGAGGTCTCGTTTCAACCCTACAAAAAGCAAAATGAATAAAGACAGGATGTCATGAAGAAAGGGTTCGATTCCCATGATTATATAATAATAACAGTCACAAAATATTCTGCCATATTCCGAGGTTTGAAGAGAGGGATATACAACCTTCTAGGAAAAGAATTTCTGAAGAACCTGATGGATGACTGTCCAGTCATGAGCTGATACAGCCCATGTTATAATTACTGTGGCCAAGAAAAATGGTTTCACCAGGTGGTGGTGGCTCACACCTTTAATCTCAGCACTCAGAAGGCAGAGCCAGGCGGATCTCTGTGAATTCGTAGGCCAGCCTGGTCTACAGAGAGAGATCCAGGGCAGGCACCAAAACTACACAGAGAAACCCTGTCTTAAAAAAAAAAAAAAAAAAAGAAAGAAAAAGAAAAAAGAAAGATGGTTTCACAAAATTGATGTAACTCTCCTTATTTCTACCTTTAAAACCTTCCTTTTGCTCAGCCCTTTTGAACATGGCTGGGGTTTACTATGACTGTTTCCTGTGTGGCTATTCCCAAAAGTAGTACTCTTGGAAAAATCTCTCATTTTGGTTTTAATTTGGCTTGACAAAATTGTTGTTACCCTTGGGTTGTGGGATTATTAATGACTTGTTTTTCTGTCTTTATCCATTTCATTATTTTATAATATTCAACAGTGAATGACAGAAAAAGATTCAGGGCTTTCCATCACCTACGTAGCATGACCTATGACTGGCTGGTTGCAGTCTCTTCCTATCTCTCCCCTCTACATACTGCCCCCAGCTTCACTGAAAGCTCTGTTGTAGTGATTGGCTTAAAATGTGCTCAGAGACATCTCTTCCCTAGAACTGCCCTGGAGGCTGCCAGGAATGATAAAAAACCATCCTTTATTCAAAGACCACACACAGTCTTGCTTTTAAAATTTAAATAATAATAATAAGGCATCAGGTTTCTTTGTAATATATCTTTTAAGAAATATATTTAGCTCCATGGGCATGTACCAGGAATGGCCTACCTTAGTCTCTCTGCCTCTCTGTGGCTGGAGTGTTCATGAGAGGCATAGACTCCTGTGCCTGCAGAGAAGTTCAAGATGCAGCAGCTGAAGCCGCAGTGACACTCCCTACTGCTGGCAATCTGCTATACTCTAGTGTGCCTTCTCCAGTCACTCTGGACCACACCGCAGGAGAGCCATTGTATCAAGGGTAACAAGAACCAACAGAAACGGCTGGTCAATAGCTTCTCTGCTAGTCAAAGTGAAAAGGAAAATGGGGGCATGCATTTTAGGTCACTGGTGATCACTGTAAGTTTGTCCCAAGAGACCTTTATTGAAATGTATATACACAGTGAGATCAATAACAGGCAAAGTGGAATGACTTTGACCCTTACAGTGTCCCTGGGTTTGTTCTGCGTCACTGTAAACAGAACACTTGACTCTGAGGGACATAGAGAGTTATTTGGACTCACAGCGCTAGTGTCTGGGGAATCCAAACAGCATGGCACTGACATCTGTGAGGACTCTCTAGCTATGTCCCAACACGGCCAATGAGCAGGAAGGGAGCCTTTCTTCTGCAGGAAGGACTAAGCACACAAAGTGACCTTGCTCTCTAAAATCCTGCCGACTCCAAATCCAATCCAATTTCAGGACTCTCAACTCACTCCAGGATCTCACTGCTCCCCACTCACCCCTGCCTCTTTTCAAGTACTTGCCACCTCTGCCCCCTTGCCAGCCGAAGTCTCTTTGTGAACTTCGTGACGACACATCATAGCAAAGGGACATTTATAGGACTAGAGAGATGACCCTGTGGTTAAGAATGCCTGCTACTCTTCCAGAGGACCAGGGTTCAATTCCCAACACCTATGTCCAGCAGCTCACAAAAGCCTAACTCCAGCTCAAGGGATGCAGTGCCCTCTTCTGGACTCCACAGGCACCTGAATACACACACATACACACACACACACACACACACACACACACACACACACACACACACACACAAAATTAAAAAATAAAAAGTACAAAGACTCATTATTTATAGGGAGCAAATTCCATGTTATATTACTATTGAATGATCTGATTAACATAAGCTTCATTCTCACTGGTTGTCTTCCACCTTCTCTCCCCCACCCTGTGTGTGCTGGGTACAAACCCAAGGCCTGGTAATGCCAGGAGGGTGTCTCACCTCGATTTTTTAAGACAGATCTCACTATAGAGTACAGACTAGCCTGAAGTTTTCAATCTCTCCATTTCTGTCTCTTTAGGACTGGGATTATAGGAGTGCACCCATGCCCAGCTTCAAACTTTTGATTTTTAATCATTAAACTTGCTTATTAGACTTTAGTCCTCCATCTTACAGGTACTTAGATGGTGCTCTCTAGTGCTGGGTTTTTATCATAACATTATTTTTTTTTAATATTTTGTTACTTTATGCTTATGCGTTTTTGTTTGTTGTTTGGTTTTTGCCTGTGTCTATCTATGTGTAACGTGTGTGCCTGGTGCCCACAGAAGCCAGAAGAAGGCATTGGATCCCCTGAAACTGGAGTTACAGATGTTTGTGAGCCACCTTGTGGGTTCTGGAAATAGAACCTGGGTCCTCTGGAAGACCAGCAAGTGCTCTTAGCTGCTTGAGCTATTTCTTAAACCCCCATACCGTTATCTCTATTGAGGAATTTTAAGCAGTAATAACAGTACAAGTTAAAAAGCAGTTAAGAAAAATGATATTCATGAGGATAGAGAGATTACTCAGTGGTTAAGGGCACTGGCTGATCTTGCAGAGGACCCAGGTTCAATTCCCAGCACCCGCATGGCAACAGCTCACAACCATCTGTGACTTCAGTTCCAGGGGATCCAACAACTTCACAGACATATGTGCAGGCAAAGCACCAATGCACATAAAATAAAGATAAGTTAATTATTTTAAAAAAATGAGATTCATCAGGATTACATCATTCTTATGTACAATAAAATGAGTATTTGGTATAGTGATTTATAAAAACAGAGAGACAAACAGCAGTGTTCCCACACAGGCAAAGTGGCCAAAAGTCACTCAGTCAAAACAAGCCACCACATGAGAGGACAGTGTGGAGATACCTAGAACTTTATTCTAAAATCCCTAGTTATTGTGGGAGTAAATACTTTCTACACTTCAGAAAGTTTGTAATTGGACCTTCAAGATGCCTCAGTGAGTAAAAATGTCTGCTATGACTGACAACCTGAGGTAGACCTCCCCTATTCCCGCCCCCCCACCCCCCCCCCCCCCCCCCCCCACCCCCCGCCCGTGGAAGGAGAGCCAACTCTTGCAGGTTGACCTCTGACCCCTCCCACACTCACCTTGGCACAAAGCTGCAGCCATGCTTCTGCCTCTGCCTCTGGAGTGCTAGGATCACAGGTATACACCATCTCATCAGCTGCCAAAAACAAAAAAACAGACTTTTCTAGGCTGGGTAAAGAATTTGCCATGCAGGCCTGAGACCCAGAGTTCAAATCGCCAGCAGCCATGTAAAAAGCTGTCTACCTGTAACCTCGGTGCTAGAGACAGGGTGTAGACAAGAGGATGGCTGGGGCTGGGCAGCCACCGATCTAGCTCCAGGTTCAGTGAGAGAACCTGTTTCAGGAGAATGATAAAGCAGGTCACCTGGCATCCTTCTCTGGCCTCCTGGCATACAGGACAGCTGATGTCCTTCTCTGGTCTCTTGGTGTATGCATGGACAGGCACAGTCCCACACACATGCACACACAGACACATAGACACACACACACAGACACACACACACACAGATATACCAAATAAAATGAAATAAAAGTAAAGTTAAAAAATATTTACCTGTGCCAAGCTGAGAAAAACAACAAATGTAGGAGTGGAATTAATGAAGAGAAGAAAAGAGATAGAGGACAGAGGGATGCAAGGGGGTGACATCTTAAGAGAGATGAGTGGGAGAGAACTGAGAAATTTTGTCCACTGACTTTTGTCTTTTGGTTGGGAAATTTCCGCTGCTAGCAACATGGGACAGCCTGAAGTTCAGGCAGCTTGAGACCCTCGGGTGTGCTGGGACTTTATCTGAGACCAGAGGGAAAAGGAAGCCACAACACTGAGTCTGTTATCCAAGAGTGTCTTTCATTTAGACCTTTTTTCTATGGTTGCTCAGCTGATGTGTTCAATTCATACTGCCTCCTCTATTTCAAAGACAAATTGGAATTTAAAAAGATTCTATAAGTCAGGTGGCACTCGGGAGGCAGAGGCAGGCGGATCTCTGTGGGTTTAAGGCCAGCCTGGTCTACAGAGTGAGTTCCAGGACAGCCAAGAACAGCTAAGGCTATACAGAGAAACCCTGTCTCACCAAAAAAACACCCCACCATCCATGAAAATTTAAGAGTCACCTAACATAAATCTTCTTTAGAACAAAACATTGAAATAAAGTAATTGCATGATAAAAGTGATATTATAAGTGATAGTGTGAATAATAAAAGAATAAATAACGGTAAAAATGTAAGAGTATAATCATTTTAATATTCTGTTTTTGTGAATTAGGGTAAAATATATTCTTGGTCCATTTTATTTTTCATTGTTTGAGGATTTCATACATTAATATCATGTGTTTTGATCAAATCCATCCCCATTCCCTCCCCTCCAAATCACCTTCTACTCTAGCTACTTTGCCACCAACTTCATGTGTTATCCCTTCCTCCCTCTCTGCCTCCCCCCCAAAGCCCACTGAACCCACTTGGTGGGTCTGTATAGATATAGGCACATAGGTATAGGATCACCTTACTGGGGCATGGGTAGCCTTCGAGGAGCTACATGCCTGATGAGAACTTACTCTTCCTCCTCAGCAGCTGTCAATTGCCAGTAGCTTCTCAGCTAGAGGTGGGGCTTCATGAGCCCCTCCCATGTCCATGCTGGCATTTGGGCTGGCTTGGTCTTGTGCAGACCTTGTGAACACAGGCACAGTTGTGAGCTCACATGTGCTGACATGTCCAGCAGATACTGTTTTGAAGCAGACACCCACTACTTCTGGATCTCACAGCCTTCCTACCTGCTCCTCCATGGTGTTAAGACCTACAACTAACTGGAGCTACTATCAGTAGATACCAGGTGTGGTTATTTACGCTTTCCGTATTTCACTAGAGACAGAGTGACTCCCCTGGACTCTGCCATCAGTCCAAGGCCATGTCACAGCTGCAGCCTCCTCAGATGCAGCTCCTCTTTGTCTCTTCAGTCCCAGACACATCCATCACTTTTCATGCTACAGTTTCAAGTCGAAACTCAGAGGCCCTTTTATCCTAAACCCATTTCACCTCCTCAATTTCCTTCCTTTCAAGCCATCTTCAAAATTCAAAAGTGATTTTGATTGCCTGGAAAAGTCGGTTTCCCTAGATTATAAAACAATCTGTGGGATCTTTACTTCTCTTCTGTATTACAGTGCTATGAACATTATCTTGAGAAATATTTAAATGTTTACAAACTTTCAATGCATCTTTCCTATAATTGCATTTTATCAATCTTTACACATTCTTAATGATAGCATTCTACTACTTGAACTAAAATTCACTTTTTATTTATGAAGCATTGAGTGTGGCAGGCTTTCTTGGACCACCAGCCCCCAAATCATGACATGGAGACTTATTAATTATGAATGCTTGGCTTTAGCTTAGGTTTGTTTCTTTTAAACTTATATTAACCCACTTCTACTATGTGCTGCCCTGAGGCCTGTTTACCTCATCTATGTATTGTCCATCCTGCTTTCACCATGTCTGACTTGCTGGCTCCCCTTTTCTCTCTGCTCACCATCCTTGCCTATCCCTCCTCTGCCTGGCTATTGGCTGTTCAGCTTTTTATTAGACCAATCAGGTGCCTTAGGCAGGCAAGGTGAAACAGCAACACATCTTTACATAGTTAAAAAGATGCAGCATCAACAAATGCAACACTTCTTTAAATAGTTAAACAATTATTCTGCAACACAAACAAATGCAACACATCTTTATATAGCTAAACAAATATTCTATTCCACAACACATGAGAATGTCAAAATAAAAAGATATTTCAGCTTTAGAAAATACTTATCCATTTTATTCCTTAGATGCTGAAGGCAGACTCTTAAGTGATATGGGCTGGACATCCATGTGACCAGTTCCTATCAGGAAGGTTCAGCTCAGACCATACACTTTCCCCAAGCTGATATACATAGTTACTGATATACATATCAGTAAAACTGGAACAAAAAATCTAGTCTGGAGATACTGATAGGATTACAGGCAATGTCCTGGATGGGGGCTGGAAAGAAGGCTCAATGGTTAAGAGCTCATACTGCTTTTATAGAGGACCAGAGTTCAGTTTCCACCACCCACTTCAAGTGACTTACGACCTCCTGTAACTCCCCTCTGAGGGTGTCAGCACTCACCCGGAGATACCCACATACAAACAACACATTGCACATAATTTAAAATGAGGTAAAAAAATTAAAAAAGGAAAGAAGCTCCCTAAACAATGCGCATGAACTCCGAGTGCTCAGAAGTGAAATGGATTTAAGAAAGAATTCAGTAACATTCGCTTCACATTATTACAAAGAAAATACCAGAGCCAGTGACAACCCTCTCAGAGACTTCTTTGAGAATGAACATATTTCATCGTTTGTTTGGGGTTAAAAAGAATGTATTTATGAAATTAGAGGCGGGGGGGGGGGGGTGGAGAAAGCCAAATCTCTCTCAGATCTGGCTTTTCTAGCTTCTGTAGCATCCAGTGCTGTTTGTTGTCCAGGCATGACTAAGTAAATCAAGTGGGTTGTTTAAAGGTATTAGGGACTGTGGAGTCCACCAAAGAGCAAGGCATATGTATGGAAATGGCAGAGAAAGTGGTTCCTCTGCTCAATTAATGAGCTCATAATAAATATTTGGGGAAAAACTATCACATGTAGAGAAGAACATCAAGAAACAAGAGTGCATGCCAGTCCCGAACTTGGGACTAAGAAGTCATTTTGGGACAAGGGTTCCATTATAGCATGTGTAAGAGTTTCTTCAGAGAGTCAAGGGACAAATACAAATATGAATTATCTACTGGGGACCAGATCAGTGCGACAAGCCCAGTGGGCAGTGTCTCACTGATGCTTTCTGTCATCCTCCAATGATCGAGGTATCAGGCTATTTCTGAAGCAAGGGTGCCCAGCGCCTTACCTTCCCAGCTCAGCCCGTACAAACATACGGACATACAGCTTAAGCCGGTCGCTTTCCTGAGACTGTTACTTAAGGACTTAGAGTCCAGAAGCCATGGACAGGCAAGAACATGAGGCTGGGGTGGGGGAAGAGACAGAGAGAGAGAGAGAGAGAGAGAGAGAGAGAGAGAGAGAGAGAGAGAGAGAGAGAGAGAGAGAGAGAGAGAGAGAGAGAGATTGAGAGAGAGAGAGGAGAATAAACGCGGGCACACTTACTGCAGGCCCAGCCCATGAAATGGTGCCACGCACAATCAATCAGCCCAAGAAATATTCCATCTAGGCAATCCCTTTCCCAGGCCATTCTACCTTGTGCCAAGCTGATAAAGAAAAGTAACCCTAGCAGGGTGTCGGATGGACCATTATAAGGCACATCTCTCTTCCTGACTCCGAGGGGTCTGAGTAACTAACTGGTGGAAGGTCCCCACCTCTAGTGAACGCCTAGGCTATCCTTGGAGCTGAGGCGGAATCCAGGTAGCTTCCAAGAGATGCCCCTGGGGTTGAGCACCAATTGGTTCCCAAGACCTGTCCGGGTCACGTGTGCGGGAGGGGGCGGGGCGGGGACAGGAGCTCCGCCAGCCGAGGGGCGGGACATGCCAGTCGAGGGGCGGGTCGGTGAGCAAAGCTTGAACACTCTGCAGCCCTGGTGCCCCCACTCCCCACGCCTGCCTTCGGAGCCCAGCCCGTGGCAATCTCACGCTCCTCGCCATCATGCTGTGGCCGGGCTGCCAGGCGCTTCGGCACTTCTCAACCGGCCAGGTAAGTCCAACCGAAGCGAGCATCTATGTCCTGGTCTTGCTTTCCAAGACCTCAGGGGCTGCAGGGCTGGGACGGCGAGGCTGGGGTGGCCAGTGATGACCAGACCTTGCTAGAAGGGACCGCAGCATTTTTCAGACTGGGCGACTTCAGAGAAGGCTCTTGCAGTCTCAGGGATGGGAAATGTCAAGTGAGCCTTTGTCTCCTGCAGGGAATGAGTTGCAGACGAGGTTATTGAACGTGTCAGGTCTGGCTGGGATGACCAGCTGGGACTGACAAGGGGTAAAGGGACCGGAGCCAGCGTCTGTTTCCTTCTGTTTTGCGTTTCAACCGAGAGGTTCCCAGTCCTCGACGTGAGCGGTATAGGATCCAGACGGTGAATTAGAGTGAGCACTAGGCACTGGCCTTGCAAGGTTTATCAGATGTGACTGTGACCCAGGCAAGCTCATCGCTGCAAGCAGGGACTGCCTGGTGCTTCCCGCCCAGTGGCATCGGCCAGATTTCCAGCACCCCCCAGCGCTGCAGGAGCAGCCACGCTGGAACTGTTAAACTGTAGAGTAAGAACCGGGCGCTGGCCCAGCCCACAGGCTTGGGATTGCATCAGCGCGTGAAGAAATGGACCGGGAGCCTACACGTTGCAAGGGACTCGGCCTTCAGCACTTGGGTGGGCCTTGGAATAAGAGCCTTTCTGAGTGTAGACAATTCAGGCTGTTCCGGCAAAGGAAAGTGTCTATCCTGTGTACATAATGTCTTTTGTAAGCAGTACGTCCTGGCCGTGTTATAAGATTTCCCTCCATTGGTTTTTCTCTGACAGTGTCAGTGTAAAAGAAGTTTAAGGCAGAATCTTGAGTAGTGCTAAGAATCATCCCAGACTTTCGTGCATTTCAAAGTTTTGTGTCTCCTAGATAAATCCAAATGGTCAGAATTCATCTTACTCCTTACAATCAATTCTAGTGATTTTAGGGGAACAGTCACAGTTTAATAAAATCTGAAAGGCAAGGCCTGTGTGCCCTGGGCTTTTGATTGTCCTGCTGGGCAGCCCTTGGACCCTTCCTTAGTTTCTTCAACCACTGGCTCTACAGTCTGGTCAGGTGGCACAGACAGCAAGGGGCTGCGTCACTTCACTGGCCTTTGTTACCGCCTTGTCAGGGAACTCTTGGAAAGCTGAAAGGAAGGAGTTTTGAAGGATGAGAAGATTTTCTTGTGGGGTTACATACGTTTTCAGTAATAAACACTGAACATGAACACACCAGGTGACAGATACCAGGAATAGAAACAGGGCTGGGCAAAGCGGCAGGCTGTCCCAGGGGCCTACTGTCCCCAGGAATCCATGTGGGAAGGTGGCCACAGACAGAGTTCAGAACTGAGCAGAGTTCTGCGTGATCAAAAGGAAGATGGTGAGAGATAGGGGAGGAACCAGGGGCATTTTACTCTAAAGATAATGTAGACTGTGCTCTCTAAGAATTATTATTATTATTATTATTATTATTATTATTGGGTTTTCGAGACAGGGTTTCTCTGTGTAGTTTTGGTGCCTGTCCTGGATCTCGATCTGTAGACCAGGCTGGCCTCAAAGTCACAGAGATCCACCTGCCTCTGCCTCCCGGGTGCTGGGATTAAAGGTGTGTACCACCACCACCCAGCCTTAAGAATTATTTTAAAATGAACATACATATATAAATATAAGTGGTCTATAAAATGGTACTACCACTTTGGAAGTTTGGTAGTTTCTTTTGTAACACTGTTAAATCACATTTTATTTGGGGATGGGGGACATGTCACAGCACACATGGAGAAGTCAGAGGACAATTGTTGCTTCCTTCCATCTTGTTGGTCCTGGAAACTCAGGTCCTCAGGCTTGGCAGCAAATGCCCTTACCAGATGAGCTGACATCCTCTTTAAAACACTTTTTATTCTTTCTTCTTATTAAAAAAAAAAAAGCCAAGCAGTGGTGCCACATGCCTTTAATCCAAGCACTCTGAGGCCGAAACAGGGATTTCTGAGTGCAAGGCCAGCCTGGTCTGCGGAGCCAGTTCCAGGACGGCCAGGGGCTAGGACTACACAGAGAAACTATCTCATGGTTGGGGTGGGGTGGGGGAATGGTGGGGATGGGAGGGACAGGGACACTGACAAAACATGTTGTGAGGTGCTTGGGAGCTGGCTCAGAGGTTCCAAGCACTTGCTGCTCTTACAGAGAATGTGAGTTCAGTTCCCAGTACCTTTGAGAGGGTCCATGCAGACTTCACAGCAGGCGGGGAAAAACGGTCAGGGTAAAGAGTGAAACTGTGATCAGCCTGATTTTGATAACTGGTGCTGGGCCAGGACTTCTAGAGTCTGACCCAGATCATCTGACTTCAGCCATAGTTAAGAAACTCAGTCCTATGAATACAACTGTTGACTTAGAAGCAGTGTTCAAGATAAGGGTCAAGGGGGACTGACTGAGGTAAGTAAGCACAATGCCTATGGGTCAGGACTGGCCTGACCCTAAGAGAGCATAGAAGTCACTTAGGCTGTTGTAAAGTACAGTGATATCTCTCACAAAGATGAGTTTTATGGCCTAGAAGTAATGTTCAAGGTTTTAGGGGGGAAAGTCTGGGATAAACAAACAATACTCTGGGGGATACAGGCAGAGCCTGGCCCAACATGTAGCAAAGGATTACCAGGTTGTAAACTACACTTCCCTCCAGCAATCCAGGAAAACAACTACGCACCTCATTCCATTGAAGAGATAAGCTATGTGTTTAACTTTCCTAGCTTCTCCAGTGCTTATTTGTGTGCACAAGGACCTTCTTTTGCCCTCTACAAACATCCATGTTGTGCAGCTCACCACCACCTGTAACTCCAGCTATGGGGGATCCAATATCACTTCCTAGCCACTGAGGCCATCATAACACTCGTGGCATAAACCCGTGCAGACACATACACATTTGTAACATAAAAATAATGAAACTTTAAAAAGCATTTTAGAAAGTGATAAGGGCTGGGGGTATAGCTAGCGGCAGAACCCTGCCCTGGCATAGACAGCGACTCAGCTTTGACCCCCAGCACTGAGAAAAAAGTCAGCATGACAATTGATGTGAATACCTTCTTTATATAATGATGCAATAAGGAAATGAAGTTGCACAAGCTGTCACTGATGGCAGCATCTGTAAATTGTGCACAGCTTCATTTCTGTGTGAGGCATGACACACTCTTATTCATGGAAGAGCCTGTTACACTAGCCATGGGTGTACACTTTGCACACTCCAAATACATCCTGGGAGTACACTGAAAACCAGCTGTTATTTTCACTCTCTGCTTCATTTTTAAGCATAAGAAGCATGCCTTGACAGAGTTGTCTCAGAGCTTTGCTCACCCAGAAGTGAATCCACACTACTCTCCTGCCCAAAGTCACTCAGGATCCCCACTGTTTTTCATAATATGGTACAAACTACTGGCCATAGGCAAAGCTCTCTGCAGTTCTTATCTCAGCTGCCATTTGTCAGCATCCCATGATTCCCCATTCTGGACACTGTGCCATTTATTCATTTCTTTCTGCCTGGAACTTCCCAGGAGTCTCCTGTAATCCTCCCCACTTCCTTGGCCAGCTCCCAAGATGACAGCCCTGAGATTCAGCCGAAGAATTCCCTTAGAGTCAGGGAGATGGACCCGCAGGTAAAAGGGCCTACTAAAGAAGCATCCAATCCTGAGTTTAGATCCCTACACTTGTGTAAAAAGTTGGGCATGATGGTGTGCACCTGTAACCTAAGAGATGGGAAGGCATAGACAGGGTGGTCCCTAGGGCTAATTGGCTATCAGCTTAGCCTGAATCAGTCAGCTCTGGGTTTTTGAAAGACTTGGTCTCAAATAAGAACTGAGAGTGACTGAGTAGGACATTGACATCTGGCCACCACACATGCACACATATGTATGCCTGCACACATACGCATGCACAAACACATATGCACATATGTACACATTATCTCCTACCCACTATGAAGAATTGCCTTTGGGTGATGTCTTCCCCTTTCAGAACCTGACTGTGCCCATCTATCCTAGAACTGTGTCACTGAAATGTCTACTTAGATGTCTTTCCTCCCTACTGACAAATTCCCAGAGGACAGGGACCACTTTTTCTATGCATCTTGTAGAATAGGGGGGTCCTAAAGAGAAATGTGCACAGAGAACAAATGAGAGAGAGAAACTACAGAATTGTGGTATGTCTGTAAGAGATTGTCCTGACTGATAATTGATGTGGGAAGGCCCAGCCCACCATGGGCAGCACCATCCCTAGATACTGGGGTTGTGCAAGAAAGCTGACTGGACATGAGGGAGGAACCAGTAAGCAGCTTTTCACCATGGTCTCTGCTTTGGTGCCTGCTCTGACTTCCCAATGATGGACCGTGACCTGGAACTACAAGCCAGATAAACCCCTTTCCTCCTCCACGTTGTTTTTGGTCATGGTGCTTATTGTAATAATAGGAAAGCAAACCGGAACATCCCATCCTGTTTCTTGGTGACTATTGGATTTCAGGTTATGTCTCCAAACTTTTTTGCTTTAATTTCTTCATCTATGAAAATGAGTTATGAATGCCTGTTTCTGGGAGTCTGTGTAAGTCAAATGCAGTCAGGCACATGAAATGCATGGCACGGACCAACATTCCATTAAAATGCTTCCAGTTATTTCTGCTTTTATTTTCTGCCCCGAGCTTCCCAGGGCAGACTATTTCTTGTGGTCTGACACATCTGGCACATCTGGCACACGGAGCAGAGAGTCTCGGGTGTCAGTGAGCCCAGGAATCACTAGCAAGCTTGCTAGAATGCAGTTTCCTGGGCCCCTGATTCTGACTCAGTAAATCAGCATCGAGAACCCAGAACGCACATTTGAAATGCATCTTCCTGGTGGATTCTGCCAACGTGGTCAAGTCAGCACTTAGACTGGACTCGGAGAAATGAAAGCAAGAAATATCTTAAGTCCAGTTTTCTGGAATCCTGTGAATTCACAAATACACAGGATTTTAGAGTCCTGAAATCTGAGTATTTCCCTTGGGCTGAGGATGCAGCTCTGTAGTAGAGTGCAAGCTTCAGGTTGAAGGCTCTGAGTTCATTCACAGTGCTGGAGAGAGGGGTGGGGTAGGGAGTCACCCACAAAGCTCAGAGAGTGTTTCATGGATATGGTACTTTCAGTGACAACATGGTTGCTTTGAACACTTTCTCAGCTGATCTAGAATTGAACTCCAACTAGCTAGGTAACAGTCACGTGGAATGTAGCAAGAGCACGAGGACGCTTGGCTTTTCTGTACTTTGAGGGTTTCCACGACCTCCACTTTTGTTGGTTGTCGAACCACGGGTCTTGTACATGGTGAATAAGCACTCCCCCAAAGAGCTACAGCCTGGCCCCTCTGTGTTTCATATGTCTTAAAATATCTGACTCTAGTAATTGTGTGAGGAGAGGTTGAAATTTTTTTTTTTTTTTTTTTTTTTTAAAGATTTATTTATTTATTTATTATGTATACAGTGTTCTGTCTGCACGTATCTCTGCAGGCCAGAAGAGGGCACCAGATCTCATTACAGATGGTTGTGAGCCACCATGTGGTTGCTGGGAATTGAACTCAGGACCTCTGGAAGAGCAGCCAGTGCTCCTAACCGCTGAGCCATCTCTCCAGCCCCCGAGGTTGAAATTTTTGTAAGGTGGCCAACAGAAAGATTTTATTCAGCCCTAATTATAGGATACAGAGATAAAATATTTATAGAACCTTTTTATTTTTTTTCTTGGTGTGTGTGTGTGTGTGTGTGTGTGTGTGTGTGTGTGTGTGTTGGCCAGAGGTCAACTCTGGTTTGTTCCTTGGGAAAGATTTACTTTGGTTTTATTTATTTATTCTTTTTGTTTGTTTGTTTGTTTTCGAGACAGGATTTCTCTGTGTAGTTTTGGTGCCTGTCCTGGATCTCGCTCTGTAGACTAGGCTGGATTCGAACTCACAGAGATCCACCTGGCTCTGCCTCCCAAGTGCTGGGATTAAAGGTGTGCCACCAACGCCCAGCTGGTTTTATTTCTCCCTCTCCCCCCCTCCCTCCCTCCCTCCCTCCCTCCCTCCCTCCCTCCCTCTCTCTCTCTCTCTCTCTCTCTCTCTCTCTCTCTCTCTCTCTTTCTGTGTGTGTGTGTGTGTGTGTGTGTGTGTGTGTACCCATGGAGGTCAGAAGAGGGTTGGATTCCCTGGAGCTGGGGTTGCAGGTGGCTGTAAGCCACCTAACATGGGGGCAGGGAACTGAATATGGGTCTTTTGGAAGAGCAGCAAGTGCTCTTAACTACCAAGCCAGCTCTTCAGCACCCATCTACCTTGTTTTTGAGACAGGGTCTCTCATTGACCTGAAGCTTGCCGATTCAGCTGGACTGGTGGGCAGCAAGCTCTAGTGAGGCACCCGTCTCTGGTTCCTCAGCACTGAAATTAGATGTGTATGCTCCCATATCCAGCTTTGTTTTCATTTTAAAAATTTTTGAGCATTTCATTCGTGAGTACTGTGTTTATGATGTTTCTCTCCCCCTTCTCCTCCTCCAGCTCCTCCCATGTGCCACTTCAATTGTTATTGTTACATACACATATGTGTGTGTGTAAAACCTTCTGAGTCCATGTAGCATTGCCTGTTTCTGTATGTGCTTAGGGTTGGTCACTTGAGATTGGAGGTGCAGGAATTGTATTGTAGATGTATCTGTTGGGGTTGGGTAGCCCATGATCAGTTCTGCATTTTAACCAATCATATAGCTTTCTAGAATTAACTCTATCTATGGAATGAGAGCTGCACTCATCTGTGGATAGAAGGTGAGTAGTTAGAATGCAGAGGGGAATCGTATAGTTTCGTAAAGTGGTGGTGCTGTAATCTCTTCTAAGATCTGTGACCTCACTAGCCGTGGGGAGTTGGCTAGGTTTATATTACCAGGCATAAATTCCCTCCTATTTAGAGGGTCTTGAGCTCTTAAGTCTAATTACAAAGCTGTTGGTTCCACCAAGATGTAAGCACCACTATTGCACTTTAGGGATATCTTGACATAATGGTCACCGTGGTTTGTAAATGTCACAGCTAGATAGGACTACTGATTGCTTTTCTCACTTGGCAGCTTGCATAGCACCTTCTAGTACTCTGAAAGTTCGTCCTCAGGGAAGAGGCCTTTCAGTCAAATCCAGCTTGATTTCTCTGACTCTGTGTCTGAAGTACATGGCATTTTCAGCAATGGGGTCTTGTCTTCAACTTCTGAGAGGCCACCAAGGGCAACAGTAATAGTATTGATGGGGAGTTTTTTGGACTCCCCTGCCCAACAACTTGAAAGAAGGTTTCTCATGCCTGAAACTATGTTTTTTTTTTTTTGTTAGAGAGTCTAGTTGAGGGGGGGCATTATTACCCACAAGTGGCACATTGGACTGCAAGTTACTGTGTAGCCAAGGTTGGTCTTGTACTAGCAACCAGACAAAAATGGAGGTCTTGGAACTTCTGGTAGCCCTTGAGTCATCATCTTATGTGATTCATTTTCCAACATCTGCCAACTAGTGTTTTCTGTTCACAGTGCCAGTTGTCACTGTTGCTACATCCTTTCACAGGTTTATTTCAAAAACAAGCTGAAGTTGGCACTTATTGGCCAGAGCCTCTTTGGACAGCAAGTCTATAGCCACCTCCAGAAAGAGGGTCACCGAGTGGTGGGCGTGTTCACAGTTCCAGACAAGGACGGAAAGGCTGATCCACTAGGTGAGTGCATCTTGGAACCCTGGGTCAAACACTCTCAGGGCTGGTTGGGATCTGAGCTGCTTCTGTTGCACTGCTTATGACCTCTAATTGTTGTATTATCAAGACAAGCCTTTCAGAACCGTGGTCCAACGTGGCTGCCTCAGACCCAACCAAGTCTGTGGTCCAGCGAGCAAACAGGGAAAAGAGGGAGCCAGGAAGATGGTTCAGTCAGTAAAAGGCTTGCCTCACAAGCTTGAGGACCCGAGTTCAAATCCCCATCACTCACACAAAAGTTGGTGCTTTGGCCTTGTCTGTTATGGCAGCATTGTTGGGTGGAGGCAGAGACAAGGGAATCCCTGGGACTCATTGGCCAGATAACCTAGTCAATTGGTAAGCTCCTGGTTCGGTAAAAGACCCTGTTTCAAAAAATAAGATGAAGAGGGATTTTAAGCAAGATCTCTGACATTGACCTGTGGCCTCTACACACACAGGTGCACACATGGACATGCTCACACACTCGTATGAACATGTCCATACAGCACATATCCACATACCAAAAAGAGAAATAGAGGAAGCAGAGAATAAGCTTATTATTAAGGACTTAGTCCAGAAATGGCACACATCACTTCCATTCATATCCAATCAGCCAGATCTTAGGTACAGGCCAATTCAATTGCAGAGGAGCCTGAGAAATTGAGATTGCCTTTGAGGCAACTACCCATTTAACTGTATGAAGTGTCTTAGTTTTGTTTCCTATTGCTGTAATTTTTTTTTTTAAAAAAATGCCCAGACAAAAGCAATTTAGGAAGAAAGGATTTATTTGGCTCACAATTTCAGGTTAGAGTCCACCACAGTGGGGAGGTAGAGGCAGTGGAGACTAAAGCTGTTTGTCAGGTCACCTCCACTCAAGCATGAGCAGAGAGTAATGGATTAATGCTTTCATACTAGTGCTCAGCTAGCCTTCTCACTCTCATACAGCTCAAGACCCCCTCCTAGGGAATGGTACCACCCATCTTGGGTGAGTCCTCACACTTCAACCAAGGTGATCAACATAACCCCCCCACAGACCAGCCTGATCCAAACAGTCTCTCGTGGAGACTCCCTTTCCAGGTGATTCTAACGTGTGTCAAGTTGACAAAGCTGGCCACCACCTTAGGAGGTTCCACTGCTGGAGGACGAGAGCAGACAACCAGCCGTCCCTGCTATATACATGGATTTTTTGGATTACAAATATGATTATCAGACTCATTTCAAAACACATCCGGGAAAGTGGCATTTCCTTGGTGCCTGAACCCAGGGCCTTGTTCCATCGGCCATGACCATTTGGACTCATGGTATAACTCAGAAAAAGAAGATGAAGCCAATGACTTACGCACAATGTGGCCTTGAGATGGTGCCGCATGCTTAGCAGGATATGCTCTAAAATCAGGGGGCCTGTGTGGATTCTGCCACTTACCAGCTGTGTGACCCTGTGCCAATCGCTTAGCTTACCAACCTCCAGTTCAGTGGCCCCTGCCTCACGTGGCTCTGGTGAGAACTCATGGGGGGTGGGATGGATGTCGATTGCTGTGCAAGACACCTTGGTTTAGACACCTTCAAGACTCAACAAGGCTTCAGAGCTGAGGTTTTGTCCTGGAGACCTCATCTCCTCCCTTAGGACTGTGACAACCGGAGAGGGAAGGGACAGGGAGCAAAAGGATACTGGCAAACCCTCCTGCCGTGGCTCCTGGAAATGGCCTAGGATGGATATATATGATTGACAAACAGACAGACAAACAGACAAACAGACACACACGAAATGAATAAAAATGTAATGAAAGTTCTTTTAAAAAAAGCTTCCATCAAAATCTGAAGATACTATCTACTCACCAGCTTTTGGACTGAAATACATTTTGCTTTCAATACCTATATGAACGTCCCGACATAATAATAACAACATCAAACTCTAGTCACAACCCAAGTTTATCCTCCACAGTGGTTAACCTGTAAAAGATATGTGAAATTGTGATGTTACTGTGTGTTAATGTAAGACCAGGGCCTTCTGAATAAGACAATCTCTTTTTTGTGCTCAGCTTTGGCTGCAGAGAAAGATGGGACCCCTGTGTTCAAGTTCCCCCGATGGAGAGTCAAGGGTAAAACCATCAAGGAGGTGGCAGAAGCCTACCAGTCAGTGGGCGCCGAGCTCAATGTGCTTCCCTTCTGCACACAGTTCATCCCCATGGATGTCATTGACGGCCCAAAGCACGGCTCCATCATCTACCACCCATCCCTGCTACCCAGGCACAGAGGAGCATCTGCCATCAACTGGTGAGACTTGTAATAGCAGGGCATGTGATGGCTCTGTTTCCATAGTCCTTGCAAATAGACTGTTTTTCTATTTTTTTCTTCTCTATATGATACAGAAACTAGGTGTACTTGGGGCTGGAGAGATGGCTCAGTCAGCAGTGTTTGCCATGTATGCATGAGGACCTGAGTTCAGACCACTAGCACCCATATAAAGCCAGGCATGGAGGCTTCCATCTGTAATCCCAGCTAGGGGGAGGAAAAAATAGGTGGCTCCCTGGAGCTCACTAACAAGCCAATCTCGCTGAATCAATGGGCTCAAGGTTCTGTGAGAGACCCGACTCAGTATATAGAGTGGAGAACAGCTGAGAAAGATACTTGATGTCAATCTCTGGCCTTTGTATATGTATGCACTACACACACACACACACACACACACACACACACACACACACACACACACACTCACCACACACACACACACACACACACACACACACACTCACCACACACACACACACACACTCACCACACACACACACACACTCACCACACACACACACACACACACACACACACACACACACTCACCACACACACACACACTCACCACACACACACACACACACACACTCACCACACACACACACACACACACACACACACACACACACACACACACACACACACACACGAGTAGACTTGCTTGTAAGGTGCTGATTGGTTGCTTAAATTGTGTGAACTCCTTTGAGATCTGGAGTCACTATATGAAGTGGTACTGAATTTCCCAAGAATGGCCTCTGGTTATTAATTCCAGTGGCTATAACTAGGTCACAAAGCTTCTGTGGTCAAATAAATAAGATCAATTTGATTCATGCTGGTTTATCTCAGGACTTCTTTGCACTTTTGACATGTACCTTAAATTTTTTTTTTCTTTTTACACAAAGGATCTCAAGTACATTTGAGAAAATGTACAGTCATTGGAAACTGGCTTCTTTATCATCCATCACCTGTCCTTTGACTTAAAGCTCCTCAAAAAGACTATCCAACATTTTCACGTCTGTTTCAAGCACAGTTCCTGACACACCCTAAGTACCTAACACCGGTACCCTATGCTGAGGCTGAACTGGATCTTTCCTGCCTCTTTTACCTTCATTCCCTTATCTGCCACCTTCCTGGTATTCCCTGGCATCAGCTTGTTGAATGTATAAGAAATCTATCTGTGGTTTAAATGTGCTGAAAATACTTTATTGTCTTTAAAGATTGATGCCTTTTGGTCTTATAAATAATAGTAGTAGGTACCTTTGCATTTGAATCCTTTTTTCATTTTGAATTATTTCTACATGCAGAATCATTGGGTCAAAGCATATGGATATTTTCAAGGCTCTTGATAGTGTAATGCCAACTAATTCCTCAATATTACTGAAAATACAGACCCATTGGATTTTGGCCTTACTTGCTTGATCACTCAGAGAAATAAAAATGATTCAGAGAGGGGGATTGAGGCTGGGGAGATGGCTCAGAAGTCAAGAACACTTAATAAAATTAAATCTAAAAAGATGATTTGGGGCACTGATGAGCAACCACTTTACAACTTCTCCATATGTGCCTGCTCCCTGACATGTGTTTATAGATGTTTTCCCACATATTCTGTTATTGTTTGCATTAGAAGCCACTACAGAGCCAAGTATTTCTCTCAGTCTAGGCTGTATACAGCACACGTAGTTGATTGTATCAACTGACTTTTACTACAGTTTATGCAGCCAGTCCAGAACTAATTCTAATCTTAAGTGACATTTTACTCAGTTATACAACCTAAATTTAACACTCAATTTTCCTTTTCTTTTTTTCAAATTTATTTATTTGTTATGTATACAATGTTCTGTCTGCATATATGTCTGCAGGCCAGAAGGCGGCACCAGATCTCTTTACAGATGGTTGTGAGCCACCACATTGTTGCTGGGAATTGAATTCGGGACCTCTGGAAGAACAGCCAGTGCTCTTAACTTCTCAGCCATCTCTCCAGCCCCTCAGTTTTCCTTTTCACTCATTGTGCTGAGCAACCTCTGTTTTAGTTTCCATTCTTAATTCTGTTTAATACATGACCAAGCTCAATGTAGGAAGTAAATGGAGGAATGAAAATTACTTGGTCCCGAAGAAGAAAACTGTCCGTGGGTGGCAGTAAGGATGGATTCTGACACCTTTTAAGATGCACCATGAAGGGCAGTGGTGATCCATGGCTTTAACCCCAGCACTCAGGAGGCAGAGCCAGACAGAGCTCTGTGAATTTGAGGCCAGCCTGGTCTACAGAGCAAGATCCAGGACGGGCACCAAAACTACACAGAGAAACCCTGTCTTGAAAAACCAAAAAAAAAAAGATGCACACAAGCTGTTCCTGCAAGACTATAGATAATACAAATGCATTAAATAGAACTGTGGGGTGCTGCTCTCTGTGAGCTCCACTGAGTCGAGCTCTATTACAAACTTCAAACTTCTCCAGGTCACCCATTCACTGTCTCCCTTTTTCATTGTAATTCCCTTTCCCTTTAACATGACTAGTTCTCTACTTGATATAATCTACAGTCATTTTAAGTTGAAACTCTTCTTTCCACAGGACTCTAATCTCAGGAGATAAGCAAGCTGGGTTGTCTGTTTTCTGGGCAGATGATGGTTTAGATACAGGACCCATCCTTCTTCAGAGATCATGTGATGTCAAACCCAATGATACAGTGGATGCACTTTATAACCGGTTCCTTTTTCCTGAGGGAATCAAGGCCATGGTCAGTATATTTACACCATCAACACCAATTTTGGAAACCCTTAACATTGGAGGGATGTTTTTCTTTCATCAAGAATCGCCTGCCAAGCCAGGCATGAACAAGACAACAGTCAAACTGTTTCATCATTTTGCTAAATACTTGAGTCTCCAACCCTGTTGACCGTGGCTAATTATAAGGAAACATAAAGAATCTTTAAATTTTTTCCCCATGTAACAGACTTCCTTAAAAGGTATTTTTACTTAGTCTGCATAACAGAGTGAAATATGACTATTGATTTATTTATTCAGATATGCTCTGAGAAAAAAACTCCGAGCATACCATGACATTAAATATTTTGTTCATAAAAATATTCAAAGATTCAGCAAGTAATTTCTATGTCATTTGGTTGTTGTCCCCTGCCAATGAGAATTTGGTAGAAAAAGTAGCAAGGTTCTATTAGGTAGTCATCATTTATGTGAGGGAAGAGTGAGACCTCTGTTTATGTCATGTGATGATTAACACAGAGGGCCCTTGGTACTGCAGAGGCCCATCTTCAAGTTCCTGTTCTACCTCCTGCAGATGATACTTCATGGACCGACAGCAGCAAGCCCCTTGGCCTCTTGGGCCTTGGTCCCTTCCTATGTAGAATGTGGAAAACACTAGCTTGTAGGAGTATTCTGAAAGTTAAATGACATCATTTGTGTAAAGGACCTAGCACACAACAGGTGCTCAGAACTAATCATTACAATCAAAATAGCACAGAGGCACACATGGACTTCCCAGTGAATGTGTCAGGAAAGAGAATGCAGACACATCCAACAAGTGAAGTCACAGATGGCTGGCATTGTCGTAATGAACACAACAGTCTGTCTCCTCCCATCCTCCCCTGTCTTTCTGGGTTGAACTGGAGGCCTTGCTTATGCTCAGCATGAGCTTTGCCCTGAGCTGCACCTGCAGCCCCAACAAGAATTCATGCTTGAGTGCAGGCTTGATATGGGGAGTGGGCACACCTAGGTGTAAATCCTTTCAGGCACGTCAAACCTGTTCTTGTTGTGAAATGACACTGTAATCTACAAAGTTCACACTCAAAAGATGTGCAACTGAATTACCAAAAAAGAAAAAAAATCAGTGAGGCATGGTGGTGCATGCTTTTCATCTCAGCACTTGGGAGTCAGAGGTGGGTGGATCTCTAAGTTCGAGACCAGCTTGGTTACAGAGGGAGTTCCAGGACAGCCAGAGTTACAGAGAAACCTGTCTCAAAAAAAAAGAAAGAAAGAAAGAAAGAAAGAAAGAAAGAAAGAAAGAAAGAAAGAAAGAAAGAAAGAAAGAAAGAAAAAGAAAGAAAAACAAAGACTTTCGGTGTTCTAAGTTAGTTTATGTATATTGTGTTTGGTGGCACTAATAGCTATCTTTGTCCAAGTGTGGCTGAATCTAGAGTTAGTTGTTTGACTTTTCCTGAAACTACAGTTTCCTCATTTGCAAAACAAGAATGTGGTATATACACTTTTCAGAATACATTTGATATCTCCAAAGGATAACTTACATAAAGTAGCTGTGTTTGCTGTCGGCATGTAGGTGGACCTGATGGATGGCAGTTACCATCACAGCCTGACTTTCTGAGCAGAGTTATATGCAGTCAGTATGTTGTTTACAGTCCTCCGTTAGACAGGCCATGTCTTCATGGATCACTGGGCTGTAACACCAGTGATGGTTTTGGCTTTAGGTAGAAGCTGTCCAACTCATAGCTGATGGAAAAGCTCCTCGCATCCCCCAGCCAGAAGAGGGGGCAACCTACGAAGGGATCCAGAAGAAGGAGAACGCTGAGGTACTCACATCAGTAATACATAGCCAAGTCACAGCCTTTGACTGTCACCTTTGAGTAGTTCCCAGTATACCATTTCCTAACCCAGAGGCAGCCCCTCCAAGCCAGCTGGCCCTATGTGTCCCCACACCTGTCCCTGATGACAGAAAGGTTACTGGCACCTTCAGGCCTTACAGCCTTTGTTTGTGCTCACCTAGATTTCTTGGGACCAGCCTGCTGAAGTTTTGCATAACTGGATTCGAGGTCATGACAAGGTCCCTGGAGCCTGGGCAGAGATAAATGGACAGGTACGCTTTCAAGGGACACATCGCCCCCATACAAACTAACTCTCCCTCCCTCCTTCCCTCTCTCCCTCCCTCCCTCCCTCCCTCCCTCCTTCCCTCCCCCCTCTCTCTCTGTATACTACTGGCATTTAAACCCAAGGCCTTGCACAAGCCATGAATGCACTGTGACACTGAGCTACACTTTTGGGCCCCATCTTACTAAGCTGCCTGGGTTGGCTTCAAATTTGTGGTCCTCCTTTAACTGCAGCTTAGGGGAGGCAGAGGCAGACAGACTTCTGGGAGTTTGAGGCCAGCCTGGTGATCTACACAGTGAGACCCTGTCTGCAAAGGAAGGAAGGAAGGAGGGAGGGAGGAAGATAGATCAAATGAGTTAATACATGCCAATTCATGAAAATACATAGTCCCTGGTGTGCAGGAAATATTTAATACTTATTAATTATTACAGCTTAGTAAATGACAGTCAGTATTTATAGAATGATAATTTTAAAAAAAAATCAGTGTCCTTTGCTCTTGGTCACCATCCTTTTCTGGTCTTGTTTTCTTGAATTGACTCCCAGAACAGCTTGCATGGCTCACCCCTCATCACCCTGCATTGGAAGAGCCCCCATGTTCCTGGGGGCTCAGATGGAGAATGATTGCCTAGCATATATGAAGCCCTGAGTTCAGTACTCTCTTACTTAGGGTTCCTATTGCCATGATAAAACACTGAGCAAAAGGAACCTGGGGAGGAAAGGGTTTATTTTGTCTAACACATCCAGGTAACAGTCCATCACTGAGGGAATTCAGGGCAGGAACCTGGAGGCAGGAGCTGAAGCAGAGGCCGTGGAGGAATGTTGCTTACTGGCTTGATCTTCATGGCTTGCTCAGCCTGCTTTCTTATAGAACCCAGGACCACCAGCCCAGGGGTGGCACAGTCTCCGGTTAGTTGGACCCTCCCATATCAATCATTAATTAAGAAAATACCCCACAGACCTGCCTCCAGGCCAATCTGATGGAGGCATTTTCTCAACTGAAGTTCCTCTTCCTCGGATAACTCTAGCTTGTGTCAAATTAACAAACAAACAAAAACAACCTGGACAAATCCTCACCACCATGAGCCACCCCCTGCACCACACACACACACACACACACACATACACACACACACACACACACACACACACATACACACACACACACACACACACACACACACACACACACACACACACTACCTTTATGGTGAAAAGGCTCTGCTTTTCTTTCTTTTAATTTCAGCCATCCTTCTGTCAGTTTGAATGCGTGATAAATGCACACTTGTATCACCTGGATGTGCAACTTTCTGAAACTTTTCCTCGTGTGTGTATATATGTGTTCATGTGTGTGTGTGTGCATGTGTGAGGGAGTATAGTGTGTGAGGCCATGGATGTGTGAGTGCATGTGCACAAGTGTGTCTGGAAGGCAGAGATTGATGTTGATATCTTTTCGCACTTTGGTATTAAGATATTTTCTCACTGAACCTGGAACTCACTGATTGGCTAGACTGGCTGGCCAGTGAACCCTGGGATCCTCCAGTCTCTGCCTCCCCAGCACTGGGATTACAGGCCAGCACCATTACACCCATCTCTTTACCCGGGTGTCAAAGCTGTAACTCAGGTCCTCACACTTAGTCTGCAAGCATTTGACCTGCTGAGGATCTCCAAAGCCCCATCTTTAAGATTTTAAAAAAGTATGCATATGTGTGCCTGTGTGCCTGTGTGTGTGTGTGTGTGTGTGTGTGTGTGTGTGTGTGTGTGTGTACCACTTGCATGTAGGAGCCCTCAGAGGCAGAAGGCATCAGATCCCCTGGAACCAGAGTTACAGTGGTTCTAAGTGGCCGTGTGGGTGCTAGGGAATGAACCTGGGTCCTCTGCAGGAGCACCAGACACTTTAACTACTGAGCCTCTCTCCAGCCCCTTTCTGGGACTTTGATCACACATTTGCAGAGATTTTCATGTGTTCCATTTCTACTGATGCTTCATTCAGTCTCACCAAATAAACACACATGACAAAATCGTGTCCCAACATTCCTACAGAAATTTGAACTTCAGTGTTAGACCAAGGAATGATGATTGCACATACACCCTGGCAGTAGCTTTACGTCCTGAGTTTACAGGGTTTGATCTCTTTCTTAGATGGTGACTTTCTACGGTTCATCATTATTGACTAGCTCTGTGCCTGCTGGAGAACCCCTGGACATTAGAGGTTCCAAGACGCCTGGCCTTGTTACCAAAAATGGACTTGTTCTTTTTGGTAACGATGGAAAAGCAGTGAGTGTATAAAGTCACTTTTTTGTCTTCCTTCTGTAACCACGACTAGTAGGGAATAGCCTCCTCCGGCTTTCACTGGGAGGTGGGAGGCTCATGGGGTGTGTCCTGCTTCCCTTGTATGCCCAAGAACAAGGTTCCTTGTGAAGGCCCCATGGACCTTCACAGGGAGACGACAGGGAGACCTGGGAACTGGGTCAGAAGAGGGAGACATGGACCTCTGCTCATGCACCTGCTGTGTCTCAGTTTCCCCATCTATGAAGTAGCAGATCCATATCTGCCCCCCCATCAGAGACCAGGAAGATCCAGGGAAACTCATGTGGCCTCTTCACTGTGCACTGCTATCACCTCACCAGGCCAGCCCCACCCCTATGGCTAGCTCTGGGTCTCCTGGACAGCTTCCCAGCAACAGTATAAAGGGCATTTGTAGTTTGCAGATCTGTCCCCACTGTTGAGGATGAATGAATTGTTAATGATACAGTGTTTTAGTGCCAGCTGCTGCTAGGTTTTTTTTCTTGTTTGTTTTGTTTTGTTTTTCAAGACAAGGTTTCTTTGTGTAGCAGTGGCTGCCCTAGAATTAGCTCTGTAGACCAGATTGGCCTCAAGTTCAGAGATCTGCCTGCCTCTGCCTCCTGAGTGCTGGGATGAAAGGCGTGGGCTGCACCTGGTCACTGTTAGGTCTTAAACCAGCTCTGTTATTTACTACCCGAGTGCTACTAGACAAATCATTGAACTTCACCGAGCCTCCAATTCTGCAGTGGTAAAGCAGGCACATAGTACCGGTCTCCATCAGGATTCCTTGACTTAAATAAGATTCCAGGACGTGCATCCACGACGCACCAGAGTGAGTGACTGTATGCTGGCAGCAGTGGAGTGTCCTCAGGGGCATCTATAGTGTCATTTGGTCCAAGTATCTGTAACCAATATGCAAGTTTCCCCTGGGTGCACTGTCCATCCATTTTGAAATGCATCTGGCTCTAGACTTGACTCTGTCCTTTTTTCAGCCTCTATTAGGATGTCATTTGAGTCCTTTTAGACACAGGGAAGTAGTTTGACCAGATGTCTGTATCCTTCAGATCAGTCAGTCTCTATACCCATCTAACACATTAGATTCCTCCTCCCAACAGGATGGTCCAAATCCTCAGCTTGTTTTCTCGATGTCTCATAGCTGATGGTGAGAAATCTGCAGTTTGAGGATGGGAAGATGATTCCTGCCTCCCAGTACTTCTCATCGGGTGAGACATCAGCAGTAGAACTTACAGCTGAGGAGATGAAGGTGGCAGAGACCATCAAGGTGAACATGTGACGTCCATAATGCAACCCTTCTCTTGGAAAACAGATACCTATCTGTAGCTGCTGTAATTGTCCTTAGAGGAATGGAAGTGTGGCTTCATCTCCTCTTTCTGTATCCGTTGTGGTTAAGAAACCAGCTCAGAAACTGATATGCTCAGACACAATACATAGAAATTTATTTTTCAGTTCTAGGTTGGCTTGGAGGGCTTGGGTGAAGTTGGGACATGGAGGGTAAAGGTAGAACCATTCAGAAACCCAGACTGAAGGTCATTTTTATTTTAGCCAGGACAAAAACTCACATATAATTGTATATCATTTTCCCTGGGGCCATAATGGTAAGGTAGGATGCTCAGGTCACCTCCTGTCATACTCACTGGCCATTTGTGACTCAAGGAGATAATGAGCAAAGCCCTCATGTTGTGTCTTCAGGTAAAGGGCAAATAGGTCTCCGCCCTGGGACTCCACACAGCCCTTCTTTATGAAAGTGGCCCTTTCTGTGCAGGTCATCTGGGCTCGAATTTTGAGCAATGTCCCTGTGATTGAAGACTCCACAGACTTCTTTAAATCTGGAGCAAGCTCAATGGATGTCGTGAGGTAAAGTCACCACCTCTGTGTGCACGGACACACAGCTTCATCTATTATAGCTCCCTTTTCTTCATTTTTTTTCATGGTCACACTCACAGATCTGTATTTGTGACTAACAGGTTGTTTTCACATTACTTCAATGTTTCTAATTATTTGTTATTTTAAAAAATGTATTACTATTTTATTTATGTGTATGTGTGTGTGTGTGTCTGTGTGTGTCTGTGTGAGTGAATGCCAATGTCAGTGTGTACAGGTACCTACAGAGTCCAGAAGGCGGCATTGGATGCCCTGAAGCTGGAGTTACAGGCAGTTATGAACTGTTCACATGGGTGCTGGGAACCAAATTCAGGTCCTCTACAAGAGTATGTGCCCTTCCAAATCTGGAACACTAATTCTTATACTTCACCTGCCCATGTCCCAACATGACATTCCCCACCCTCTCCACACCCCTCGCATCTTCCTATTTATTAGTCATGGAATAACCAAAAATATTAATTTCAAGAACACGTGATATCATCAAAGTCAAGAGGTTTGGGTCTCTAAACTATAGTTTATTAGCAATAATCCATGAGTTCCTAGAAAATTCTGGTTAGCTTAATAAGGATTCCAATACTGTATGGTAGTTATTGTTATTTATTGCTGGCAAGATTTTCTGTTAGAGTGAGTTACCCTAATCATTTGTCATTATCTTTATAAAAAACCATGTATTTACTTGTGTTGGTGTGCCTGGGAAATCACATGCCGTGACACATGTGTGGGAATTCATTCTTGCCTTCTACCATGGGTATTCTTAGGGTCAAACTCTCGGGCTTGTTGGCTAGAGCCTTTATCCACTTTATCTTGCTAGCTTTATTATTATTAATAACTTATAAGATATATCAACTTCTTCAGAGAATAAATTATAGAGGACTGTAAGTGGTGGGTTTCCACACTGGAACTGGTGTACCTTTCTACTTAAGAAAGGTCAGCTGACAGGAACAGTTAGGTACAGAAGTCAAGGACTGAAAAGGACTTGTGAATTCCATCAGCCTTCTATGGGTGCTAGTACCTAAGTTAAACATGTAATACAAACAATTGCTCTTATAGATAGACTACAGACAATATTCTCTATTACATTCAGGTCTCATAATTTTTCCAGTAAGGAAGCTGCCTTTTTTCTCATTTTCTGAGTCCATTTGAAAGGTTCAGACTCATGTGCCCCTAACTTTTCACTATAGTTAAAACTTCCTTCCCTTAATTTATTTTATTTATAGTTGTGGATAAAGTTAAAAACAACAAAACAAAACAAAACTGTCCTCAAGACTGATTTTTAATTTTCTCATGCTGCAACACATTTTGAATTTATTTTTATTTTATATCTGTGTGTGTGCCTGCTTGCCTTGCGTGCATCATATGCATGCAGTTCCCACAGGGGCCAGAAGGGGTGTCAGATCCCCCTGGAACTGGAGTTACAGGTGGTTGTGCACTGCCTTATGTGGGCAATGGGAACTGAACCCAGGTCCTCGTGAGAGCAGTAAGTGTGTCTCTCCAGGCTGTCCCACATCTTAACATCTTCTGTAGTTACCATCACAGACAATCTTGTATGATGTGAACAAAAATCACTCCCAAACCTCTTGACCAATGCTAGTGAACAGGCCATCAAACTCTTTAAAAATGGACATAATGTGAGCTGGTTCTCACTTCAAGGCTGGTGGAAGAGATCAGACAGAAATGTGGTGGTCTTCAACTGCAGAATGAAGATGTCTACATGGCCACCAAGTTTGAGGATTTCATCCAAATGGTCGTGCGGAAACTGAGAGGAGAGGACCAAGAGGTGGAGCTGGTGGTGGATTATGTAAGTGTCTCACAGATGCTCAACTTCAAACTTCCAATCCACTGCTACAGAGAACATGCGCGTTTGCCATTTATATTTATGGCCTTTCAGGCTAGTTTTATTGAGATACAATTCAGGTGTCATAAAATTTACCCTAGTTAACTTTGCCATTTTAGAACATTCACAAATTTTGCAATCGTCATCACTACTATCTAATTTTGGAATATTTTGATCACTTCACAAGGAAAGACTGTACCCAGTGGCAATCGTATGCCTTTCTCCTGACCTGCTCTATATCCAAGACCCTCAGAGACTAGTCTCTTTTCTGTCTATGGATTTGCCATAATGTCAGTATTTCATGTATAGATTTGTGCAACATGTGGCCATTTGCATCTGTTCTCTTTCCTCTGACATATGTTCAAGGTTCACCCTTGTAGCTGTTATCACTTCAACTCTCTCGGGCCAAGTAATATTCCATTGTGTAAGGATATATTTCCTTTTTTGAATCCACTCATCAGATGGTGTGTGTTTAGATCATTTCAGTTTGGAGGTTGTTATCATTATACTGATAAAGAAAACTTCAGGTATACATTTTGACATGAACACACATCTTCAGTTCTCTTAGGTACAATGTTAAGAATAGAATAGCTGACTGTAACTATGCTTAACCTTTTGAGGAATTGCCAAGGGCAGCCACATCACTTTGTAACCCATTGCCAGTGTAAATCTACCTTCTCCATGCCTTTTCTCAGGCTCTCTCTAGCTGTCTTGACAGGCGTGTGTAAAGAACATCAGTATGGTTTTGATTTTACACTCACTAATGGACAATGACATGAAGGATTGTTGTGAGTGTTTGCTGTGCATTTGTTTATTTTTCTTTGGGAAAATGTTTATCCAAATCCCTTTCCATTTAAAAAATTGGTTATCTTGACTTTTTAGAGTCAAAGTCCTCTGTCAATTCTGGACACTCAGTCTTTATCAGACATGAATTTGTGAATATTTTCTTTTGACCTATGGATGTGTGTGTGTGTGTGTGTGTGTGTGTGTGTGTGTGTGTGTGTGTGTGGTACATGAGTGCAGGTGTCCATGGAGGCCACAAGAGGGTGTCAGATCCCCCTGGAGCTGGAGTTACAGGCATCTGTGGGCTGCCTCATGTGGGTACTGGAAACTGAAACCGTTCTCTTCAAGAGGAGCAAGTGCTCTTAACTACTGTGCCAATTCCTCACAGGCAGATAACAACTGTTTTTTGAACTCTGGTAGAACTTAAAAAAAGTGCTTTTATACAGATTTCTCTAATTACCTAAGAAGTTACCTTGAGAAATCTATTTCTTCATGTGGATTCAAGATTTGTGTGTGTGTGTGTTTGTATGTGTGTAATAGCAGAGCTGAGGAGAGGGTGTTGGGCAGCCTCCTCTATCATTCACTACTTATTCCTTTGAGGCAGAGTCTCTCCCTGAACCTGGGGCTTGCACTGGTGCTCACATTTCCTTGGCTATGCTAAAGCCACAAACCCCAGTCACCGTCCTGTTCCCACAACCCTCAGAGCTGGGGTACAAGTGTGCATGGTTTTCCTGGATCTGAACTCTGGTCCTGATGATGGTTCAGCAAGTGCTCTTGACCACTGAGCCATCTCTCCAGCCCTGTGACTGTTTCTTTACCACCATCTGCTATCAAGTTGATAAGCACAGAAATACACTGACTTTATTCTCAGGTCTCAAAGGAGGTCAATGAAATGACAGTGAAAATGCCGTATCAGTGTTTCATAAATGGACAGTTTGTGGATGCCGAGGATGGGGAGACTTACGATACTGTCAACCCCACAGATGGATCTGTGAGTAATGACAGCTGCAGTGACCAGCAGCCATGAGCTTTTGTCTCACAAGGCTGTGCACCAGGTGGGCTGAGGTTACTTGGCTCTAGCTCTGCCCCCAAGCTCCTCAAATACATTTCATGCATTTCTCTTACCCATTCAGCTCTGACATGGACTATTGTGAACCACAGTAACTGTTTTTAAGTAGACTGAGTGTTTATGATGAATTTAGACTGCTGTGCCCATACACAGCAGAAGATTTCTCTGTACAGAGCTCCGTGAGGGAGGGGATCCTTCAGACTCTGAGAACTCATGGCAAGCAATCCCACTTCCCCGAGGAAGAACTGTACAATTGCCCTAAACCTGTTCTTCCAGAATGAAATGAGGCATAAGATGGATCAAGATGAGGTTCAGTTTCCACATTCAAACTCTGTCATTTTCTTTGCCCTAGATGGATTAGTTTTGTCGTGGATTTTTTTTCCATTTGATAAGTCATACTCTACTTTTATAAGAAGTCTAATATTAATTCCAAGAGCCACACTGATAGATCCCTTAGGAAACCTATTTTTGCTTGCCTTGAAATAGACGATATGCAGAGTGTCCTACGCTTCCTTAGCGGATGTTGACAAAGCAGTAGCTGCAGCCAAGGACGCCTTTGAAAATGGTGAATGGGGAAAGATGAATGCCAGAGAGAGAGGAAGACTGATGTACAGGTGTGTGTTCTGAAAAAACAACTGTGTTATCTCAGGGTATTAGTTAATATTGTCAAGAGTATAAAAAACCCCACAAAACATTCTATGCACCTGTGGAAGACATAACATGTCTCTCATTACTTGAGTCATGCAAAATCCCACACAAGTTCTTGACATCTGATTACTGCTTGTATCAGTTGGAGGTCATCAAGGAGTATGTAAGATGTGGGGAACAACATGGAACTCCCACAAAGACTAAGGAAAGGCAGGGCTGGTGGCAGGAAAGCTGGTACTTCCCCCAGGTCTGAAGGGAGAGAGGAAGAAGTGGTGGCTAGAATCTGCCAAGATCTACAGCTGCAGAGGAGCACTCTAGAGCCCTCTGTAGTTACAGAAGAGCACTCTAGAGTCCTCCATGGTTGCAGAAGAGCACTCTAGAGTCCTCTGTAGGTATAGAAGAGCCCTCTAGAGTCCTCTATAGTTACAGAAGAGTACTCTAGAGCCCTCTGTAGCTGCAGAAGAGCACTCTGGAATCCTCTGTAGCTGCAAAAGAGCACTCTGGACTCCTCTGTAGCTGCACAAGAGCACTCTACAGTGGTCTTAAAAAGGGAGAGCACTTAGAAGAGTGACCTGGGAGATTTAACCCCTTGACCCCATCCTTCACCTACTTCACAAATTTCCCAACATGCCTCTCAGTCACCAGGTAATAAATAGGATCTAAAGGTCATCCTCCAAGGTCACGGACCAGTAGAGAATGGACAGAGCTGCACATGGGGGGACATTCCACACCTTGTTTTTAAAGACGAGGAAGGAAGGAGGAAAAATACCAAGGTCTTGGAAGAATATTATAAATGAATGAATATTCTAGAAGCAATTAGTTTCAAAGATTCATACTGCCTTCTGCTTATCTATAGCTAAATATTTCACCTGTACTGACAAATTTCTTAGAGTGAGATCTGCTAGAAGCATGGGGGGAGGGTGTCCTGTCCAGCCCAACTCCTGAATGTCCAAGAAGAACCACCCCAGGAAGGGAGGGATAGAAGGAAGGGGTTAATGGGGCAGGGGTGAATACGAAAGACTATTTTTACTATTTCCCACACAGACCCCACACACCTTCCTAAGGAAACCAGCACCTTGGAGACTGCTGTGGAGTTTGTGATTCACTCCACATGCCTGCTTTGTCCTCTTCTGTCAGTTTTGAAAACATTTCTGTACCAACCAGAAAGCCACAAGTGTTCATGGTCCTTAGGGGTGTGTGGCTTGTGCTCTGACACCTCCCTGTGTTAATAAACGACTCTCCTGCTGCTGGTTCCTTTGACCCACTACCTCCTGCCTATGACGACTGGCTCAGCTACTACTCTACTGCTTACGCACCTAGGAGGCAAGGAGCACATGCTGGAGACATGGTTGGCTTCTCCCTGTAACTCATGAGTTAAATGCTGGGTTGTAGCTCAGAGCTAGAATACTTGCCTCGCATGTGTGAGGGCCTGGGTTTGATCCATAGACTGCAGAATCTGTACTAATAACCCACTGAAATAAATAATTTATACAATGATTTAATTGCTACCTTCCTAGACCATGATCTCTACAGGGGTAGGTGCATTGCTCTGGATCAGTCTCTGGAATCTCAGTCTGGGGTGGTACCCTGAGCAGGGCTAGCATATACACCTAGTAAGGGCTCCATCGATAAGTGCTTAGTGGATTTCTCTCACTGCCCACACAGACTTGCTGATCTACTGGAAGAAAACCAAGAGGAGCTGGCAACCATAGAAGCCCTGGATTCCGGGGCTGTCTACACCCTGGCTCTGAAGACTCACATTGGAATGTCTGTGCAAACATTCCGATACTTCGCAGGCTGGTGTGACAAAATTCAGGTAAGCACAAACACTCCTCGATCATTCCTAGAGGAAAGTGGCCTTAAGAGCACTAGTTTGCGGCAGGTTTGGCCTCTGATTCTGTGATGGCAGTTTATTCCCCGTCCTCTGGAGAGGAGCAGTGCTGGATCCCCAATGCTGCAGAAGAGCAGGCACACCCACTATGAGCCTCCTTTAAGTACTTTTCTTCCTTGAGCTGTGTGCACGTGTGTTTGATGTATGTTGGGTGTCTCTTCCTCCATTGCTCTACACCTTATTTCTTTAGATAGGGTCTCTCACTGAACCTAGAGCTTGTGGATCTGCTTAGACTGTCTGTCCAACAAGCTCTAGAAATCTTCCTGTCCTGTCTCTCCAGTGCTGGGATTGTAGACACGTGCCATCTCACCCAGTTTTGTTCTTGGGTGCCGGGAATCTGAACTTAGGTCTTAGCTCACACAGTAAGCACTCTACTGAGCTGGCCATCTCCCCAGCCCTATTAAATTCTTTTGAGAAAGAAACAGCAATTCATTCTAATTCAGGGATTTATTTCCTAGACGTTGAACAGGAGGAGAGGGCAAAAAGCATATTATCTGTGATTAAGCTTAGTAATTTAAATTAGTAAAGTATCAGCCTTTCTTTCCTGTAGGGCTCTACAATCCCAATCAACCAGGCCCGTCCAAATCACAACCTGACCTTCACCAAGAAGGAGCCACTTGGGTAAGACAAGAGGAGAACCTCTGGGTGACTTGGACATTGTGCTGCTGTGCGGGGACTAAGGCCATGGGCCTTCTAGCCTCTGGGTGACTTGGATGTTGTGCTGGTGTGTGGAGGACTAAGGCCATGGGCCTTCCAGCCTCTGGGTGACTCGGACGTTGTGCTGCTGTGTGGGGACTAAGGTTGTGGGCCTTCTCCCCACAGTGTCTGTGCCATCATCATCCCCTGGAACTACCCACTGATGATGCTGGCCTGGAAGAGTGCAGCATGCTTGGCAGCAGGCAACACCCTAGTACTCAAGCCGGCACAGGTGAGCCTGCCCAGCGTGCAGAGGGTTCCCCTTGCCTGCAAACTGAAAACAAACATACATTGATAAACAACACACCTTTAAGCTTTTCACAGTTCACAGACAACTCTTCATATATTATTCTTAAATTCTCATTTTTAAAACGTGTGTGCCGGGAGAACCACATGTATGTATGCAGAGGTCAGAGGACAATGCCTCTTGGGATCTGGGAATCATACTTAGGCCATTGGGTTTGGTGCCAAGGGCTTTATCTGAAGGACCATCTTGCTGATGCCATTCACATGTAATTACCAAAAATCTTAGGAAGATATAGAAGATGAGGGGGAAGTGCATAAAATAACTTAGTAATTACAGCAATTGTGTAAGGTCCAGGGATGTACAACCTCTGACTCTGTGATGTAACCCACTCATCCTCAAAGGTGCTGGGCCACATGCACAGCTATCCTTGGAGGCAAAGGGCTGGAGGGCCACAGGTTGAACATGCCTAAGCATGTATGCATGTGGGTAACAAGGGAATGCTTTAAAAATGCATCACGCAGTTCTTAGAGACATCTATTAATGCTACAGTAGTTTCTGTTTAAGAGCACCTCAAGTGGCCCAGGCTGGGCTTTAACTTCCATGCAGCGGAAGCTGGTCTGGAAAATCTGAGCCTCCTGCCTCCGCAGCCCAAGTGCTATGATTACAGGCAGAGACCACATCCAGCTGCAGGAGCACTTTTAAGTATTATTCTATCCATGGTGGCTTCATTCCAGGGCATAATAACACACTCTGTGGACCACCTCCCTTCAACTGCAGTACTGTGAGAGACTAATCCACACTCTGTGGACCACCTCCCTTCAACTGCAGTACTGTGAGAGACTTAGCCCCACACTCTGTGGACCACCTCCCTTCAACTGCAGTACTGTGAGAGACTAATCCACATGCTGGCACAGTAGGCTTCTCGGTTCTTCAGTGTCTGGGGCCAGCTTCTCACCGAGTCTCTCCAGGCTGCCACTGTTGAAGCATCATGGTGTAGCTTACCCATCTGTCACTAGAAGGGGACCAGTAGCTCTTTTCCACATGCACTGCAGTATTTGTCCTACAGGTTCCATGCCAAGTCTTTCAACTATGTGTCCATTTTATGAAGGTTGCTTGAGTTAAGACCATAATACAGTCTGTGATTCCACATAGCCAGGCTTGTCAGCTGCACATGGGGCAGCTTTCAGAGTAGATGAGCAACCTAGGGGACTATGACCCTGACACACAAAGCCAGCAAGGGAATCACTGTGATCTCCCTTCCCTCCTGCACCACACACACACACACACACACACACACACACACACACACACACACACAGATAAACAGAGACAGAGAGACGGAGACAGAGAGAGAGAGAGAGAGAGAGAGAGAGAGAGAGAGAGAGAGAGCACACCAGGGAGGGAATCACTGTGATATCCCTTTCCCTACACACACATACACACACACACACACACACACACAGAGAGAGAGAGAGAGAGAGAGAGAGAGAGAGAGAGAGAGAGACAGACAGACAGACAGACAGACAGACAGACAGAGAGAGACAGAGAGACGGAGACAGAGAGACAGAGACAGAGATAGATCCCTTGTCACTGAGCACCTACTCCTCCATAGGACACTGATGTCCTTTGTGACCCTCTGCCCCCTGACCTTCTTGCAGACTGAACATTACTGTCCAGACCTAACTGTGAGTCACGGTGGTTTCTTGTGCATCTGTCAGTTGAAACAGAAGCTCGGGTACTTTCCGTACTTCACTGGATCTTCCTGCATATTCCACTGTTAGAGATCCAACGAAAAAGCCCTCATTTATATCATCAGTGTTAGTGTGGGGGAAGATTAAAAAGTAGAGAGAGGGCGAAAGCAATGCAGTAAAGACTCCGTATTTGAGTGATCAGGGTGAACTATATACAAGGAATTATTTGGACTACTTTGGCAACTTTGCTGTGAGTCTGAAGTTATCTTAAAATTAAAAAAACAACAAAAAGCAATGTAAAATACAAACAAAATGAGCTCTCGGGGCAGGGGAAACGGCTCACTAAGTAGGAGTACATGCTTTGCAAGCATTTGCACCTGAGTTCGAATTCTCAAAAACTGTAATGGGCCGGGCACAGATGAATATGCCTTTAACTCCAGCAGTGGTAGGAGCGAGTGGGTGTAGACAGAGTATAAGAGCTTGTTGGTCAACCAGCTTAGCTGAAACAACAAGCTTCTGATTCAGTTAGAGACTGTGTCGTGAGGCAGTAAGGTGGATGGCGACAGCGTCCTGCTCTGGTCTCCATAAGCGAACACACCCACACTCTGTGCACATACCCCATGTGTGCACCACACCCACAAAGGAGGGAATCAGGGCCCTGGTAAGGACCGAACAGGTTTGAGGAAGGCAATTCCTGTCTTCACTTCTAGGTCACGCCCTTGACAGCGCTGAAGTTTGCAGAGCTGACTGTGAAAGCAGGCTTTCCAAAGGGGGTAATCAACATCGTTCCAGGCTCAGGTAAGCCCGCAGGGGACCAATGAGTGACTCAGGAGCTACATCCTGTTTCCCACTGCAGTCTTAGCCTAAATGAAACACTTCTGGACACAGGTCACCAAGCATAAACATACTTACAGTGTGATAAAAATGTAGAGTTGAAATTGAGTGTGTGGGGTACAGGGAGTTATAAGGGGGACTGGAGAGCACTGTAAAAACTGCCCTAAGGAGGGCTATTGTGATTTCAATAAGTACTTTGGAAGATAACAATCGAGGCTTCTCCATCAATATGAGGTGGGGGTGCAGACAGGGCATGGAGGACATTGTTTTAATCCATTTGTAATTAACACAGAAAATGTAAAATGCAGGTTCACATACAAGCTTAGAAACCTACTTCAGCAAGTGCAAACCCATCCTCCCAGCAAGATCTGAGTCATGTTTTGGCCCTGATTACTTCTACAGGGGGTGTTGCAGGACAGCGGCTTTCTCAGCACCCAGATATCCGCAAGCTTGGCTTCACTGGCTCCACGTCTGTGGGCAAACAGATCATGAGCAGGTACTGGCTTGCTGTAGGGAGCCCACTCTACCAGGCTTCTGTTGGGGTTTCAATAGAAAGTTTCAGAACAAGGAAAACCAAGGCTGGGGATAGGGCTCAGTTGGTAGAGTGCTTGCCTGGCATGCACAAAGCCATAGGTTTGATTCCTAAAGCTGCATAGAGCAGATCTGGTGACCCATCCTGTAATGTCAGCACTCTGGAGGTGGAGGCAGAGGGTCAGAAGGTACAGGTCATTCTTGGCTACAAAACAAGTTGGAAGGTTACCTGGGATACCTGAGACCCTGTCTCAAAAAATAAATAAACAACAAAATTAGAGTTAGAGAAGTCACACCAGGGGCTGGAGACATGGCTCAGAGATTAAGAGCAGGCACTGGCTATTCTTCCAGAGGTCCTGAGTTCAATTCCCAGCAACCACATGGTGGCTCACAACCATCTATAATGAGATATGGTCCCCTTTTCTGGCCTGCATGCATACATGTAGGCAGAACATTATATACATAACAAATAAATTTTAAAAAGAGGGTTGGGGATTTAGCTCAGTGATAGGGCGCTTGTCTAGCAAGTGTAAGGCCCTGGGTTCGGTCATCAGCTCTAGTTTAAAAATAAAAATTTTTAAAAAGAAAGAAAAACCACATCAAATGGAGAAACTGACTTTATCACTGACAAATTCTGAGATACATAAATGTAAGACAAAGCTCTCCACAGTTGAAACCAGGGTCACGACTGGGGACAGAGCTGTGTGGTTAATGGCTTGTCTGGCAAATCCAAACAAACACAACCAACATGAAGGTAGAAGGTGTGCCAGGTCACAGCCCAAAACAATCAAATCAAAATGATAAACACAATGGCCACTGAGTCATGGGAGAAATCTGTGGGCTATTTTTTCTTTCTATGACTCTATCCACTCTGAGTAGGAGTACCTATGAAGGTTGGGATGGGCCTTCTCATGGTTTGTCACAAGCACTGCTCAAATTGCAAACAAACAAAAACCAACGTAACAGAAGGAGTGAATAACTACCGCACCTCTGGCAATTGGTGTCCCACCCACAGTGGTCTAGCAGGCCGTCTAGAAGCTAAATTTGCTCTGCAGACCTTGATATAACTGAATTCTTAAAGGTGAATTTCCCTATGCTGGGTATGCTATGAATGTGTTGCTCTGATTGATTGATAAATAAAATGCTGACTGGCCAGTCATCAGGCAGGAAGTATAGGATAGGCGGGACAAACAAAGAAGAGAATTCTGGGAAGTGGAAGGCTGAGTCAGGAGACACTGCCAGCTGCTGCTGCCATGAGAACAAGATGTAAAGTACTGGTAAGTCACGAGCCATGTGACAATTTACAGATTAATAGAAACAGGTTAATTTAAGATATAGAAACTAGATAACAATGGCCATACAGTTTATAAGTAATATAAGCCTCTGAGTATTTTATAAGTGGGCTGCGAGACTACTGGGGGCTTGGCAGGACCCAGAGAGAAACTCTCCAGCTACAATCATTTGACCACAGAATTTTTCAAACATTATAGAAAACCTCTAAAATATATAACAGGAGCAAAAAAGCATGTGAACCTCACACACTTACCTCACAGCCTCCCTTTTGGGTTTCTTTTCTCTTTCCTTCCCCTCTCCTCTTGGAGACACGGTTTCCCTGTGTAGCAGGGCTGGCCTTGAACTCTCCACGCTCCATCTTCCTGCCTCCATTTTCTGAATGCTGGACTACAGGCATGCACCACTGTGCCCTCATAAATGAGGTTCCTAATATTTCTGAGGCTCAGTTATGTTTTACATGTCAAGTAGTAACATGTTTGGGGGAGAGAGAGAGAGAGAGAGAGAGAGAGAGAGAGAGAGAGAGAGAGAGACTAACAAATCTTTCCTGTTTGTTCTCCTCTAGCTGTGCTGTGAGCAACCTGAAGAAAGTTTCCCTTGAGCTTGGTGGCAAATCCCCACTTATAATATTCAATGACTGTGAACTTGACAAGGCAGTGCGGATGGTAAGTGGGCCAGACCCAGGCAGTAGGTGCCTAGTTCTAAAGCCTCCTTTATTGGAGGTCTTCAGATGGGATATAGCTTAGCTAGTCATAAGCAAATGTCATCTTTTTGTTTATCCTAAGGATGCTTAATTTTTTAAATGGCTTTTTATATTTTTATAATATCTCCTCCTATCTGCTAGCACCTTGCCTTTTTCATCCTTCTTATCTGTTCTGGACACCAGGCTCCAGTTAGACTGTCTAAACAAACCCAGCAAAGGGTTTGCCTCCATGCTTGACACCAAGTTCCATCCTACAGACCCACATGGTGGAAGGAAAAACCACCTCCTGAAAGTTGTCCTTTGACCTCCACACACACATTAGAGCATTCATACACCTGCCTCCAAAAAGTAACATGAAAAAGATTTGTAAAATAAAGATCAAAAGTAGTTAGCAGGGCTTGCCTGTGCATGCATAGAACTCAGGGTTCGATTCCCAGCACAGCATAAACTGGGTATGATGGTACTCATCTATAATCCCTGCACTTGAGATGGGGAAACAAGAGGATCAGAAGTTCAAAGTCATTCTAAGCTTCATACTGAAGTCAAGGCTGCCCTGGGCTAGAGACTCTGCCCAAAAGTAATCAATCAATCGATCAGTCGATAGTAGTTAGCAGCTGAGCTTAGTGGGTGACACACACACATATTGTACTAGTTACCTAAGAAGCTGAGGCAAGAGGATCATGTGAGTCTGGAAGTTCAGAACCAGAATGGACATCACAAGGCTCCATCCCTTTAAAAACACAGTACCTGGCAGCAATCACTCCCTGGTTTCCACTTCATACACCATTATGGACGAAGCTAGGTGAGGAGGCACAGGGCCTCCTACTAACTTTGTGGCCCAAGAGAGTTAAACTATTTCAAATTGTGGAAACATCTTTTAAATAAAACAAGAAGCTCAATTATGTTTTGCATGAGAAAATAATTGGGCGAATCCTCTCTCTTCCTTTCTGAGACAGAGGTGAGCCAGCGTTGAGGGTGCTAGCCTTCTAGTGACTGACTCTATTTGCATGTGTGGCTTCCTGCTCTGCCCTGAGCAGCCTCTGCCCACTCCCCCCCCCCCCCCAGCTGTAATCTGAATGAGCATTCTCAGCCAAACCCCACTGGGTGAGGACCCCAAAGACAGTGGAGAGGTCTGCAGTGAAGGACCCCCCCCCCCCCCAACTTCTTTGGCCTATTTGTGTCTGGAGACTCCAGTGACAGACAACAGGGGAACACTGATATCAAGGCCAAGACTCCCCTGGATATGTTCATTTCTAAGAACCTTTCCAGAACATTCCAGAGAAAAGACAAGAGAAAGAAAAGTAGAAGGTGGATTTGTTCCATTAGCTTGCTGTCATATTTTTAAAAGGTTTATTTATTTATTTATTATGTATACAGTGTTCTGTCTGCATGTATGCCTCCAGGGCAGAAGAGGGCACCAGATTTCATTAAGTTGGTTCTGAGCCATCGTATGGTTGCTGGGAATTGAACTCAGGACCTCTGGAAGAGCCACCAGTGCTCTTAACCACTGAGCCATCTCTCCAGTCCCATATGCTTTTCTTAAAGATTTATTTTTATTATTTTATGTGTATAAGTTTTGCCTGCGTGTACATCTGTGCACCACATGACTGCTTGGTACCTGAGGAGGTGGAGAGTTTCCATGTGGTTGCTGGGAATGGAACCCTGGTCCTATGCAACAAGAAATGCTCTCAACCACTGAACCAACTGTTCAGGCCCTACTGTTATATTTTTTTAAAAGAGATTATTTTACATGTATAGGTGTTTTGCATGAATGTATGTCCGCGTACCATGTGTGTGGTGTGGGTGCTGAGAACCGAAGCCAGGTCCTCTGCCAAAGAAACACATGCTCTCAATGGCTGAGCCGTCTCTCCAGTCATGCCCCATCCCCCATTACATTTTTAAAAGCACCAAATTTTATGTTCTGGACTGTGTCAGATGAATAAAGATTACGAAGGGTGAAAAAAATCATAAGCATGAAGACAACCAGTATGTAGTGGGTACAGAGAGCCAGTTTTTTTCTATTGGCCACAGCTACACTCTACCCACTAGGAATCCATACCCTGCAGAGCCACAGCTCCCACCATGCAAGAATGGTAGACACTGCAAGAAATGCAGCTGCTGCTGCAAAGTGCCCGGAGGGTTTCAATTCTGTCTAGGGAGGCTTCCTGGGAGTGAGCCAGCAGCTGGATTTACAAAGGAAAGATCACCCCAACTCCACGAGTCTGCATGATCTGCTGTTTTTTTGTGCCCATCATTTAAAAAAATGTAAACATATCCTTAAAGATATCCCTTTTATGGGGGTAGGGTTTGAGGGATGATTTTGCATGTGAGTATGTGTACATGTGTGTGAGCACACAGGGATGGGAGTGTGTGTACATGTGTGTGAGCACACAGGATGGGAGTGTGTACTTGTGCAGATTCAGAGGACAACATTGGGGGCCCTGCTCTGTCAATCTCCACCTTATTCCTTCCTTCCTTCCTTCCTTCCTTCCTTCCTTCCTTCCTTCCTTCCTTCCCTCCCTCCCTCCTTCTGTCCCTCCGTCCGTCCCTCCCTCCCTCCCTCCCTCCCTCCTTCCTTCCTTCCTTCCTTTCTTTCCATATTTCAAGACAGGGTTTCTCGGTGTAGCCCTAACTGTCCTAGAACTCACTTTGTAGACCAGGCTGGCCTTAACTCAGAGATCCTCCTGCTTCTGCCTCCCGAGTGCTGGGATTAAAGGCATGCACCATCACAGCACAGCTCTCAAAAACTTTTTTTGTAGAATAAATTTATTGCACAAAATTATTTTAGGTATACCCTCATTGTCACACATTTTAAAATGAGTGCTCATGAACCAGAACTGGGAAAAGTCAAAACAAGTATCTCCCAGGAATCCCCATCACCAACAATCTACAGGACCATCTGACACCTCTGTTACCTGTGGCCTTTGCATGACAATGTGTGGGCAGGCAGATGGCTCAGTAAGCATCAGGACCAGCATATGGACTCCCAGCACCCCCATAGGAAGCCAGGTTGGGCAGTGTGCACTAGAGTCCAGCACTGGGAGACAGGAGCGTGCCTGGAGTTCATTAGCCACCCTCTAGCTCAACTGCAAGAGATCCTGTAGCCACACCCCTGCCCTCACAAAAACCTAAAGAATGGAGAGCAACTGGGGAAAATATGTGGTATTGACCTCTGGTCCACATGCACACACATATGAACATGCTCTCCCATGAAGTACTGCCGTCTCTGTGTAACTGGATGGCAGGCTTGACTTGAGCAGTGCTAATGTTAGTTTCTCTTTTGCTGCTGAAGGGCATGGGTGCAGTATTTTTCAATAAAGGAGAGAACTGCATTGCAGCTGGACGACTGTTTGTGGAAGAGTCCATCCACGACGAATTTGTAACCAGAGTGGTAAGGCATCTTCATACTTGCTGTGAGTTTTACATGCACTGTTTTCCTGAAAAGGATTTCTGGGATTATTCATGATTTTTAGATATGAGATATCGATAGCATTGAGCTGGCTAGGGGTGCAGGGGGCTCAGTGATGGAATGACTACTTAACACACACATGGCCCTGTGTTCCAACACACATATACATACACACATACACACATACATACACACACATACACACACACACACACACACACACACACACACACACGCACACACGCACGCATACCAGGTGTGCTGGCATATACCTGTAATCCCAGTGCTGGTCAGGTAAGCAGAGACAAGCAGATGCCTGGGACTCACTGGCCAAACAGTCTAGACTAACCAGCAAGCTCCAGGCCGAGGAGAAACCCTGTCTCAAAAAAGAAGTGGAGAACACCTGGGGAAGAATAGCTGAGTTGTCCTCTGGCCTCTGCATGTGTGTGTGCACATACACACAAATACATACACACACACACACACACACACACACACACACACACACACACACACACACACACATTGAGAGAGAGATACAGACACATAAACACCCAAAAGCAAAGGTATCCTTTCTTCATGAGAGAGTATAACACAATTATATAGAGGCAGGTGGTGAGGAGTCAGTGGGTGGTCACGGAGTCTTACAGAGTAATTCACTTGGTGTCTCAGGAGGACCCAGTTCACAGTACAGAGGTATAGAGACTTATAGGATCTGACACTTGATGAAATTTCCAAAGCAGAGACCAGAAATTTCAAGCACTTGCTGTATTGGTCCAGTACAAACATGTTTTGCATACAGACCATTTTTTAAAATTTATGCATTGTATTTCCTTTTTAAAGACTTTTATGAGGAGGATCTCACTACGTAGCCTTGCCTAACCTGAAGATTGCTATGTAGACTAGGCTGGCCTCAAACTCAAAGATCTGCCTGTCTCTGCCTTTCAGTTGCTGGAATTAAAGACAGGCACCACCACAACCAATAAGATATCTGTGTGTGTGTGTGTGTGTGTGTGTGTGTGTGTGTATACACTCTGAAAGTCAGAGGTGCTTGTGAACACCTGATGTGGGTACTAGGAACCGAACTCAAGTCCTCTGCAAGAGGAATATGCATTTTTATCCTCTGATCCATCTCACCAGCCCCTCAAGAGTATTTGTTGGGCACCTAGCAATGCTAAACACTGTGCTGGGTGTTGGCAATACAAAACCAGGCAGGCTGCCATGGTCCCTCTCTTGCAGAGCATCTCTCTAGCACAGGGTTTGCAAGACAGCAAGAGATTAGAAGCAGACCTGTGTTCAAACGTATGGGGTCATGGTGGTTTCATCCTTTCTTTTCATTGAACTGGAGTTCCAGCCAGAAAACGTAGACTTAGATTGTGACAAGGATGACAAGGAGCAATCACAGGTCTGCCATCGAGGAGCAGTGTACCAGCTTCTCATGAGAACATTCTATCCTGGGGTTACAGGCCAGGTCTGCCCTGGTACACAGTGAATTCTAGGACAGCCTGGATTACATGACACCTGTCTCAAAAAAAAAAAAAAAAAAAAAAAAAGAAAGAAAAACATACCAGCAATTCTTCTGGCATGGCTATCTCATGAGAATCTCACAAGGGCACTCTACCACATTTAAAAAGAATTTCTATTTCCATCAAGAGTCTAAGGTGACATGTTAATTTCAGAATGTCAGTTTGCTTACTGGATTAACATTTGGGATTTGGAAACACAGCATGGGCTTGTATTGTTAGAAAAGAGTACTTAAGAACTTGGTATTTAAAGACAGTACAGAGTGACTGTGTGTGACCAGACAGCCCACTTAACTCCTTTAAGGCCTCAGTTTCTCCTTCTGTAACACGGAAGTAGTGAAAACTTGCTTCCAGTGAGGCTGGAAAGAGCCAACCACATATCCTTCAGCTGCTCAGTACACCATGCACCACATGTAGAAACTCAGCCAGGGGATCCACTGTTACTACTAACAGTTACTGTGTTTTGTGGACTGGGCAATATACAGGTGGAAGAAATTAAAATGATGAAGATTGGTGATCCGCTGGACAGAGCTACGGACCACGGGCCCCAAAACCACAAAGCGCATCTAGAAAAGCTGCTGCAGTACTGTGAAACTGGAGTGAAGGAAGGGGCCACACTGGTATACGGAGGAAGACAGGTGCAGCGGTTGGGTAAGAGCACCCCTAGGGAAGTGCCCGGTGCTTGCCCCCCACCCAAAGCCAGAATGGATGGAAATGACTTCTGTTTTAGTGCTGTCCCTGCAGAAGTGTGTGTGTGTGTGTGTGTGTGTGTGTGTGTGTGTGTGTGTGTGCGCACACACGTGTGAATACAGGTGCCTACAGAATCCAGATCCATCAGTTCCACCTGAGCTAGAGTTATAGGTAGTTGTGAGCTGCCAGATTTGAGTGCTGTGAACCAAACACACACAAGTCCTCTGCTAGAGCAGACCACACTCCTAACCACTGAGCCATCACACCAACCCAATAGCAATATTTATAATTTGACCCAAAAGTATATCTTTATCTTGCTGGGTCACTTTTTTGTTGTTGTTGTTTTTTGAGATAAGGTTTCTCCGTGTAGCCCTGGCTGTCCTGAAACTTGCTCTGTAGACCACCAGACTTGCCTCAAACTCATAGAGATCCGCCTGCTGCTTTGCCACTTTTAAGCGGAGGGCATGGAGGCAGCCAGTTTTCCTAAGCCTCGGTTTCCTGTGTAGAATGGGGTGACATGCGCCCTTATGAGGCAAGGGGCATGGCAAAGTTGATGGGCCAGCGCTCGACTGTCCCTGAACAGGAGTGATGGTGTTATCAGGCACTGGTTGGTCATCTTGAGTCTTGTCACTCTCCAGCTGAGCCCGGGAAGGGTTTCTCCTGCTGTCAAGGCAGGGCTTGATAGTACGATCACCAAAAAACAGAGACGATTACTATTTGGACTGTTACTGTGCACTGACTCCTTATTTTAAATATTGGTAATTGCAAGGAAAATAAAAGAAGACTGAGTAGGTGGTATAGAAACATTTGCACAAAAGAATCCTTGCAAGTCAAAAAAGAAAGGAAGGAAGAAAGAGAGAGAGAAAAAGCTGGGTTGTGGTGGCACACACCTTTAACCCCAGCACTCCAGAGGCAAAGGCAGGTGGATCTCTGTGAGTTTGATGCCACCCTGGTCTACAGATCGAGTTCCAGAACAGCCAGGGCAACACAGAGAAACCCCGTCTTGAAAAAAAATATATATAAATTAGAAAAATCACTTCATTGTATTTCTCTAACAGATGAAATCATTGATTCAGGGAGAGAATGGTGGTCCACAGAGGCTGGTGTTGTTAGAACAAGGCATTGGGCACTGAAGAGATGGATCAGGTATTTCCGGCAGTGGAGCTCTTACAGAAGACCCGGCTTGGTTCCCAGCACCCACGTGGTGGCTCATGGCTATAACTGCAGTTCCAAAGGAGGTCTTCTGGTCTCCATGGGCACCAAGCAAGCGCATGGTGTGCATACCTGCAGGCAAACACATAAAACATTATTTTTTTTAAAGACATCATTTTTATGTGTATGGGCGCTTTACCTATACATGTGTCTGTGTATCACATGCTTGCCTAGTGCCTGTGACAGAAGAAGGTCTGAATCCCTGGGGACTGCAGTTCTAGATGGTTGTGAGTTGACATGTGGGTGCTGGGAACAGAACTTGAGTCCTTTGGAAAATCAAGTGCTCTTAACCATTGAGCCATCTCTCCAGGGTCCAATTTTTTTTTTAAGGAATACACCATATGGAGAAACAAATGTCACATAATAAAGCATTGACAAATTTAAAACGCTAAGATATTCTATGGTATAGTCAGACAGGATGGCATACACATTAACTCCAGCACTTGGGAAGCTGAGACAGGAAGGAGGTTCAAGACCAGCCTGGGCTACAAAGCAAGTTCCAGGTAACCTTGGACAATAGGGAGATATCATCTCAAAAGAATAAAGTAGAGGAGGAAATACCGAAGTAAAAGACAAGTGAGAAATTAAACAATCAAATGCACCTGTCGATTTATTTCAATCTTTAGTTAAATCAAAGAGGGTAGTAACTATCAAACACTGGAAGGAAATGAAGTAAAAACACAAATAAAGAACTTGTCCATTTCATGAGAGTTAATCTCGATTGTGGTTTTCTTTTTAAAATGCCTGTTCTTTTGCCTGACTTGTACTGAAATGCTTGGGAGTGGAAATGGAATCTGGGTCTTGTTTGAAGACATATCAGTGGGGAAAATATCAAATCAAAGATGGTGAGTTATGAATATTTATTAAGTCCATGCTCTACTTTTACATCCTTGAAGTTTCCATAATAAAGCCATTAAAAAACGAGCAGCCAGGAAGGCAGACACCGCATGAAAGATGGTTTGCTTCTTGTTAGCTAAGCCTGGGGTGAACTGGGGATGAAATGATCTCACCTATGATGGATGCTTTTATTTTTTTCCTCACAGGCTTCTTTATGGAACCAACCGTGTTCACAGATGTTGAAGACCACATGTACCTTGCCAAAGAGGAATCCTTCGGGCCTATCATGGTCATTTCTAAATTTCAAAATGGGTGTGTTCCTTAGGCACACGGTGTAACGTGGGTTTCAGCTAGATAGCGTCTCTGCCTTGTGCTGTACATAGAGCACACAACCCATGAACATGCAATTCTCCACCCTAAGGATAAGTCAGCTGGTTAATTAATTAGATGCGGGGTGATGGCTCAGTGGGTGTGGTGCTCACCGGGTCAACGTGAAGTCCAGAGTGCAGATCCTCAGCACCCACTTAAAAGGGAGGTGTGGTGCATACACCTGCAAGCTCAGAGCTGGGAGACAGAGACAGAAGGGTCACCTGGCAAGCCAACCCAGCCTGACTAGTGAGCTCCAGCTATCACGGGCGACCCTGTCTCAAAAACTGAGGTGACAGAATAACCAGGGGGATTGGGGGGGGACACTGGAGAGCTTTGGACCTGTACAGATCTGAACAGGGTTGCACACAGGAGACATGCTCTGAAAATCAGGGAGAGGACGCTCACCAATGATCCTTGAAGACTGAACAGACAATGCTGGTCAAACGGGAAAAGACACTCCACGGCATGTGTGAAGAGTGGAATACTCTTGGTTATAATATCACATGCAACTTTCAGAGTTGGCCTGGAGTATTTCACTTAAAAAACATTAATCAGGTCCCAGAGAAATAAGAGCACTGGCTGTTCTTCCAGAGATCATGAGTTCAATTCCCAGCAACCACATGGTGGCTCACAACCATCTGTAATGAGATCTGGTGCCCTCTTCTGGAGTGCAGGCATACATGCAGACAGAACACTGTATACATAATAAATAAATAAATCTTTTTTTTTTTTTAAAGAAATTATCCTGTTTTAACATGAAAAAGAAACCTTCAAGCAGAGTGAGTGTGCTTCGCTGTACTTTTAATGGTTTTTCTGCTTCTGGAAACATCTTACAGGGACATCGACGGGGTGCTGCGTCGAGCAAATAACACTGAATATGGTTTGGCCTCTGGGGTTTTCACGAGAGACATCAGCAAAGCCATGTACGTGAGTGACAAGCTAGAGGCGGGCACAGTTTTCATCAACACCTACAACAAGACAGACGTGGCGGCCCCGTTTGGCGGAGTGAAGCAGTCTGGCTTTGGAAAAGACTTGGGTGAGTGTGGCTTATTTTGCTCCTGTGCATCCATGTTACATCACACAGAAACATGCAGTTCCATGCAACAATACTCCCTTATTGTTTTAAAGGGCTCTCCTACACAGCAGTTTACAAAGGACACTGAAATTCTAAAAAAAAAAAATTAAATACATTTTTAAGACAACCTCAGATATTTATTTGTGTGCATACATAAGTGTGCCATGTCATTATGTGGCACTCAGAGGACAGCAGTCCAAGTTGGTTCTCTCCTTTCACCCCGTGGGTCCTGGAGATTAAATGCAGGTCATTGGGCTTGCTTGAAAAATGCCTTCACCCACTCAGCAATCTCACTGGTAAAATGTGTTTCTAAATCTGAATTTCAGTATGAAGTTGGTTTAGTTTTGTGGAACTCAGTGGAACCAAGAAGACAGTTTGAGGGTGGAAGTAGCTCTGGAGTTGGTCCTGTCTCTACGCTGAGTCTTGCAGAGTCACAGAGATAGGCAGGGTCTGTTGGGCATGGAGGGCTCCAGGATCAGAGTACAACAGTTAACAGCCTTCACCGTCGGCAACCGCCCTGACAACTCTCAAGCCACAGCTCACTTTGGATGCTGAAGCTGTGCTGGGCCCCAACCTAAGACTACACGAGGAGCACAAGCAAGTGCTCCCAGCAGACAGTGGCTAGGAACTCATCTGTTCAGAGTGGGGAGACGAGGCTTTGGACGGCCGGGTGAGGTGCCCAGCTCCATACTGACAGGCACTGGCAGAGAAGTGAAAGCCAGCCGGTCCAGCTGCGGAGCTCACCTCCTGCTCTACAGTCCTGTATTGCTTCAGCGTAATAAGTGTAAAAATACACGTAAGATGTGAGAGCATGCTGTGGTGGTTCATGCCACCACACTTAAGAGGCCATGAGATAGGAGGACCAGTTCAAGAGCGTTCCTGGCCGAACAGCAAATTTGAGGCCAGCCTGAAATATAAAATGTTTGATTTGCTGAAAATTATCTGTAGATTTGGCTCATTTGAGGTGTTAGATTCTCTTTCCTAATGATTTTTGACAGTGTACTCACAGGAATAAAAAGTGGTCTTGGGTCTAAAACAGAGCTGGAGGTTTTCTTGGAAAATTTATAGAAGCGGCCATTTCTGCTTGTCCTCTGACAGGGTAACTGACAGCCAAAGGCTTGTTTACTGTGCAACACAACAGTTTGTCTGGTGGTTCTTCTCCAAGGCTGAAAGTTCAGCCTTGTCAGTGTAGTCTCAGTGCTGGTTATCTCTCAGGTTATAATCACCTAGGAGCTTTACAGGAAATACAGATACTTGATCCGATTGCTCTGGAGTAGGCTGGGAACAAGTTGGTAATTCTCCCTGCGTCACTCTAACAAGGGGACACGTTCGACAGCCCTCTGTCTACTGTGCTCACTAGTCACCATGTGGCACTCTGCCCTTGACCTCTGTCCCCTCTATCCACTGTGCTCACTAGTCTCCACGTGGCTTAGCTTCTGTAGAGATCACTTGTCTGGAAACAGGCAAAGCCTAGACATGGTCTTGTGTCTCTACCAGCAGAGGAAGCTGCACTTCCTTTCTCTTCACAGTAAGGTGAAATTGAAAGTCCCCAAGCTTTCCAACCCATACTCAACTCTGCTTTACGTAATGTGACCGAACAGGCAGCACCCTGGTCACAGAATTGTAAACTGGGGAAACGGAATTCATCCAGCAGGGAACAGGAGGAAGATTAGGGCTGAAGCTTGCCAACCAACACGCCAATCTTTAGAGGGCCAGGTAGGCTACCTAAGCCCTTACCACCCATCTTGGTCTATGGTCCATTAGTATCCACACTGTGAGGCCTTCCCCTAACTTAACTCAATCCACCTGCAAGTCAGCAAGGCCCTCGGATGATTGTATGAACCTGAGGAGCACTGGCCTAGGCCACAAATCTTCACCCATCCTTGTGAATGTTCTGTTGGCTACTCTTCTCTCCCACAGGTGAGGAAGCCCTGAATGAATACCTCAAGACCAAAACGGTGACACTCGAGTATTAGAGCAATGCCAGCCTCAGGAGGCCTTCGATGAATAGCCTGCTTCTCAAACCGTCACAAGCTGAGGAAGGAGGAACCATCTGTGAGCCACAAAAATACATACAAGGACCAAGAAGAGGGTTGGGCCGCTTGTGTGAGCATTTGCCTGAGGGCCTCAGTAAATTCTAGTATACTATTTTTCTCACCAAATGACTTACCTCTGTTAGGTTTTAACAATGTTGGGTATTCTGTGTATTTCTAAAGTATCTAAGCCCCTTCTGTTCCATGAAGGACTATTCTCTTCAAGGCCATCCCTCTTGAACACACTGACCTCACTCAGCTGTAATGTACAGATACATTTAGGATTTCTGGATCATTAATCCCCGGGCCATACAGATTGGACACTAACAACCATTTCTTTACTTTTGTTTTCAAAGCACAGCATACCCCATGTAGAATGTGATGGCTGTCCTTTTCCCTTTTCATAGAACATCCATTTTTGTGCCTTTGACTCTCCTGTAGCCCACTGTGACAGACGAGCAGCCCATGGCTTTTCTTCCATATCTACCTACTGGGTACAAACTGAAGTTCTGAGGACCTTGGTCCTATATTGTCATCGTCTTTGGTCCTATAGTTTAAATTCTAGTAAACAGTTTTTTCCGGAAGTACACAGCATGCGATGGCCAATCTTAGTCATACTAGACTGTCATACTACCTGGCTTGGAGAAAATTACCCACCTTCTCTGAGCTCTGGCTTCCTATGTGGGCTCCCTGGTGTGTAAAACAGGGGTAGCAGTGCCTTCCTCAATACCCTCATTAAAAGGATTCTGTGCAATAAAAAAAGCCCCAGCACTGGGCTTCGCCGTATATGTAAATAGTCAATTAAATGTAAGTCTCTTTTTCCATCTCTGCTTTAAAAATACCGAGATGAGTTAATTGACTAGATGAGGGAACTTCCAAGAAGGCTCATTGATCAGTGAAGTGAACTGATGGATGAAATGAACTTCCTACACTTCCCACCCATTCTCCTCACATCGTGCCTGGCACAGTTCTGACACCTGCTGTGCACTGAAAAATGGTGCTAGAGACAGTGTCTCCTGCCTGCAACACCAGACTCAGGAGGCTGAGGCAGGATGATCACTGAGCCTGGCTACCAGACAAACAAAACTAACTATTAAAATGTCAGTGGCACCAGGAAAAGTGGCACCTTTCCCATGGCTGTTTTCCTGGATGCTTATTCACCCTTTCACAGGACATCTTGCCTCCCACTTCTCTACCTGCTGACTCTGTTGCTCACTGGCTGTGTGATGTCAGGCAAGTTAGTGACCTAATGTCCCCGGGGCTCAATTTGGTGTAAGACGGCGATAAACTCCGTGACTTAAGTGATATAGTGTTGGCACGCACACCCCCAGTATCTTTGTCACATCACTCAAGGACTGGCCACTGCTCCTGTGCAGTGCTCACATTGAGTCCCACTGTGACACAGGTTTAATTATTGCTGCTGACATGTAATCAGACAAAGGGTACTTCTTGAACACAGAAGTCTCCAGAAGATGGCCAGAACAGCTAACTTCCGTTACATCTTCCTTCTGAAGGGCAGCTTCGGTGAACACTCATTCCTTGGGTGTGGCAGACACTCCTGAGGAGTACTACCAACTTTGGAAGCTAGATGAGGGTGTGCAGGGAATCAGTAACATTAGAGGCAGAAAACATTTCCAGGGAAAGATCCCGCCTTGACCAATGCAGCAAAGATTGCCTTCCAGCACTTCTTATTACACTACCATTCATTTACCATCAGAAACAGAATTGAAATGACTATTCACTGGCCTCAAATTACAGTTCCTATTTGCAGAAAATGGCAGAAGCCTTGGTCTAAGTTACCACTGGCCCTCCCCCTGCAAGTGACTCTGGAGGCATCACCCTCTTCATGAGGCAAGCCTTCTGATCACCAAGAATCTGTTCTTAGACACAGCAGCAGCACTTGGAAGGCGGAGGCAGGAGGACCAGAAGTTTAAAGTGAGCCTTAACTACACAGTGAGTACAGGGTCTGCCTGGGCTTTATTACATCCTGTCTCAAAAAGGAGAAACCTGCTGCTGCAAAAACTTCAGGAAAGCCTTGATTCCTCCATTGCTACTTCTGCTCTTTCCTGATTTCCCATCTCTTCCGGAAGTTCTCCCTGAGCAACTGCTCCCTGAAGCAGACCGTGGGCTGGGAATTCCACTTTCATCCTTTGTTTCTACCGTGTCCACCTTTTGAAGCTTGTGATCTTTCTAGTTCTGAAGCATCCCTTTATTTGCGGTCCCACTCCTTGTGTTCCCTCCCTTCACGATGATCCTGCCCACACTGACTTGACTTTCACTACCACTGGAGAATACTGCTGATGCTGCTTAAGATGGACACTTTAAAATGAAGTATCTTATCATGATTTGGCATAGTATCAATTTGCTTTAATAGCATGGCAGACCAAAAAAACATGCTTGCTCTCCTCTCCTGGGCTGGTTGTTTATCCTGTATTTTATTATTATTATTATTACATCATTATTATTTACTATTATTATTATTGGTTTCCAAGACAAGGCTTCTTTGTGTATCCTTGGCTGTAGACCAGGCTGGCCTTGAACTCACTAGAGAGCCACCTGCCTCTGCTTCTGGAGAGCTGGGATGAAAGGCGTGTGCCACCACCACCTTGCTTACCCTCAAATGTTAATCAAGGTGGCTACACTGTTAACTTTGAACTTCTTTGGGAATCTGATAAAAGCAAATGCTCGTGCCACTCCTGCTCCCAAATTCATGTACACATCCATAATCCTATGAGAACCAAGGGATCCTCAGAGCTTCCCAAGGCCATGTGTGGGCCACAGACTCGGACCTTTCTCCATGGCGAGTTCTATACAGTTTTTGGCAAGTGTGCTTTTGATATCTGAGTACTGATGATAATCAACAGCAGCAAGAAACACCCAACATTGGGAACTGAACTGAAGCTTGAGGGTCCTGGAGCCTGCCTAAGTGGCTTAATTAGCAGAGATAACTAAGTCATTGCTTAATCAAGTTCCTTCAGATCATTTGTTCTAAGCCCGGATGTGTTTGGCCCTGGACTGGGGCAATGCAGATATGGTCAGCATGTCTACCCTAGCTCCCTATGCCCATGTCTCTGTTCTGTCCTTTGAGCAAACTTCCTTCCAGACCTTTCTTTTCCTATCTGCAGCTGGGTTAAGCTTCTCTCTAGGCTCTTGCCTCAAACTCAGCACTTGATACTCAAGCTGCTGACTGTAATTGTCAATGATCACTCCTGTCTCTGTCCCCAGAACGCTAAGTCCACAGCACCTGTCATTTGAGGGCCTCCTGTGTGCCACTCGACTGAGCAGGTTTTACTATTCTGTAACTATTCTATACTTATAGGATAACTGCTATTCTATTCAATCTTGCCAGTACCTTTGCCAATGAATGGAGGTGTTCTTTTCTCTGCCTGCACCACCACACCACGTCATAACCTCATTTTATAGACTATTAATTCTCTTATTCCTCCCTCATGTGTCCTGTTTAAAGCTTGTTGGTCTTGACACTCTGCTCAAAACTTAAGGGGTTTGTTTAGCATAAAGCCCAGTGTATTCACTACTGCCAGTCCATCTTGGTCCTCTGACCTCACCTCTATTGATTTCTCTATGTTCTGACTGTCCTGGTCACTCTGATGTTTTTCAAACACACCAAGTCTGTCCCCGCCTCCAGGCTGCTGAATGAATTGGTCCCTGTGCCAGCGCTGTGATGGTGATGGATTTTGTTGCAGGTGTGGGGGAGGAGGGAAAGACACAGCACTCTCCGTGTAAAAACTCTCTTCAGAGCTGATTTCAACTTACTAGTTCGACTTCACTGAACATGGAGCTGGGAAGAAAGGTAACTGACAAGGCAAGCCAACACCAGCATCCCACTGCCTCCTGCTGAACTGTCCTTGCTGTCCACAGCTTCTTGCTGCCTTGCTTTGACGTCTCTCATCAGAAATCATGTTCCACACATTGCCTGCTCAGCATACATGACCTGCCATCCACATGTGGCTGCTCTGTCATTCTGTGCCTCTCCGTCTGTTCTTTCTGTAGCACTCACCACTACCTGGCCTATACCAAACAGCTCGATGCAGACACTGGGATGTAATCTTTGGGAACAAGTGCTGGCTTTGTTCCAGGCCTAAGATGTAGGAGAGCTCAAGAGGATCTGCTTTCTAGTTGAGAGGTTAGGTGACCTGCCTAAATCACACTTAATAAAATATTAAGTATTTGTGCAGTGAACTCATAGTCTTAACCATGAGATTTTTATTCCCAATGCCTTCAACAGGGCCTGGATACTGAAGAGCAGGAATACAAAGAATTATTTATCAAAATAAAAATAAAATAAAATCAGCTCAATAGATATTATCTGCAAGAGATTTTGCAGAAGTAGTTAGGACAAGGGTGAAGAGCCTCTCCATATTTAATGTTCCATGAAAATGTGTTAGGGGAAGCCTAGGGTAGAAGGGAATAATGAAAGGTGGTAGACGAATCGTGGCTCATTGTACAGGGATTGTTACTACTATTGCAAATATACTTTAAAAATTCACTTGGATATCAAATTATGTTTTTTTTTGAAAAAGACCCTATTTTCTTCCCACTTAGGCTCCAAAAACATGAGAGGTGGCAGATAGGAGTGACTGAGAGGCTGGGTGTGATGGCTCACACCTTTAATCCCAGCACATCAGGAGGCAGAGGTGAGCCTGGTCTACATTGTGAGTTCCAGGCTACCAGCCAAGACTACATAGTGGGACCCTGCCTCAAACAAACAAAAAGCAAACAAACAAAAAACAAAACCAGGAAGGGGGTGGTGGCTGAGAGGGATTGTCATTCTTACATGCTTAAATGAGTTTTAAATAGTATTTAATTATGTAAAAACGTATGAAGTGACTCATCCATCAGTTTCTTTCCACAGAAATAACCACACACCTGAGATTGCCTTATTCTCCATTGTTAGACTTGCTGATCAGCTACTAACTTGTTACCTTTATTTTCATTCAACAGTTACACTTGTTAATGGACACTAACTTGTTACCTTCATTCTCAATCAATAGTTACACTTGTTAATGGACACTAACTTGTTACTTTCATTCTCAATCAACAGTTACACTTGTTAATGGACACTAACTTGTTACCTTCATTTTCAATCAACGAGGCCATCACTATGTCAATAAACACATCTTTGCACAGTTTGCTGACTATAATCAAGTGGGTCTACTCTTGGGCATGTAAAATTGCTTTGCTAGATCCGTGCCACAACACATCTTACTGAATAATTTGTTAGGGGCCAGTGATGTGGCTCCACAGGAAAAGGCTCTTGCTGCCAAGTTTTAAACCCTCAATTTGAGCCCTGGACCCCACATGGTGGAGGGAGGGACCTGACTCCCACAAGTTGCCCATCCTTTGACTTCTGCCCTGCATTATGGTATCCCTGTATCTACATACACATATGATGAAGAAATATAGTGTTTTAAAGAATTTGTGTCAGGTTATGGCAGTGCCTGCTGTATTCCCAACCCTGGAGAAGCAAAGGCAGGAAGAGTTCAAGGCCACCATAGGATACACATTGAGACAAATACAAAAATAAAAACTTGTGGCCAAACTCACACTTACTAGGATAAATTCCTACAAATGAAAGTTTTGGGTCAAATACATAATGACCAAGTTCCTCAAGATGTTTGCTGCTGCTGTGTAATAGCCACACAGTACTCCAACACCCCAGTTTTACTGAGCACTGCTCTATGCATGTCTATCAATCCATTAAGTTCTTACAGTAACAACTAGGGGAGTACAGACCCCAGATTATTGCTCAAAACAGTGAAGTGGCTGGACTGGAATTTGATCCAGATAGCATCAGAGTCTGTGCTCATGGTGTAGTGATGCCAAGGTGTGGTGACTTACGTTCAATGTGGAAGGAACTGTCTGTCAGTACAATGAGGAAATGTGGTCCACTACCAGGCAGGAGTCAGAGTAGCACACCATGCCATGGAGGGCCAGTCAAGGAAGCCAAGCTTCACTCTCCCTACTCTCTCTCTAACTCTTACCTGCTGGGTCTACCTGTGACCTCTGAGACAAGTTCCAGGAATCAGGAACCACTCTAAGATACACTATAGTTCCTCTGCACTTCTGGCTGGGAAGGCTCATCTCTTGCACCCTGTCCCAAACCACTAATGGACAAAAATTTTCTGTGATGAGATTCGGGAATCCACAGATTAGAGAGTCTGCTAGTAACACATTCTGCTTTCTTCAGAACCATGAATCAGGAAATGAACTGATGTTTAAGCTCAAGTACTTGTGTCAAGTACTGACACAAAATGAGAGAAAAGAGTTTATACATACTATACATTCCAAGTAAGGCTCTGTACCAGGCACTGAGAAACACAGAGAGCCTCAACACAGTGGTGGATACACAGCAACAATATAGCAATACACACCAACATACAAGCTGGTTATAATTATCACAGCTGATACACAATTAAACACTTGGAAAATTTATTTACCACGACAATTTTACCCATAAGACATTTACATGCTGTTTTCTGATCACTTTCCACAGACCACAGAGCAAACGGCTCATAAAATATTTTTTTAAAAACAGTGTAACTTCCACACAGTAAAATACACAAATGTGAAATTTATAATTTAAGAAGGGTTTGCACACATGAATAGTGGAAACATTTGAGGTTAGTGGCCAATAAAGAAAGGACTCAGTGAGAACTAGCCAGTGTCCTCTACCAATTCCATCAGTAATGAGAACAGCTCTGGAGCTGAGGATGACAGACAGAAAAGCCCCGGACTCACTCTGCACTAATGCCCCCCAATCTTCCATCTGTGGGTTTGGCTTCCATCTCTGAGTCTCTCTGTTTTCACTGACTTGGGATAGACCACTGTTTACTTAGGACCCTCACTGTTTCAAGTTTCAAATGTCTACCATGGGTTTTCTAGGCTTTTCAAGTTTCCTTCAGTGAAGTTTTGCTTTTTTCTTTCTGATTTCAGGTTTATATGTGTGGGAGGGGGTGTTTCTCAATTCTGTTAGTAAACATGAAGACATATTAGTATGTCTTATGATTTTGTTCTTTTACATTCAAAATCTTTAATGTGTATACAGTTTTTTCTCTTTGTATATGACATGAGGTTAAATCTAATTTTTTTGTTTGTTTGTTTTTCAAGACAGGGTTTCTCTGTGTAGTTTTGGTGCCTGTCCTGGATCTCACTCTGTAGCCCAGGCTGGCCTCAAACTCACTGAGATCCGCCTGGCTCTGTCTCCTGAGTGCTGGGATTAAAGGCGTGCACCATGGTGACTCTTACACAGAAAAATGTTTAATTGGGACAGGCTTACACTTCAGAGGTTTAGTCCATTATCATTATCGTGAGAAGCATGGTGGCATGCAGGCAGGCACAGTGCTGGAGAGGAGAGCTCTATGCCTTGACCTGCAGGCAGCAGGAGGAGACTGTACAACATTGGGCATAGCTTGAAACCTCAAAGCCCACCCCCAATGACACACTTCCTTCTACAAGGCCACACCTCCTCATAGCGCCACTCCCTATGGGGCAACCATTCAAACACATGAGCCTGGGGGTGGGTGGGAAGGGCATTCCTATGCAACCCTCAATCATCAGAAAAGCATGGGATGATAGACTTAAAGCTCATAAAGTAAGTTACTGACAAGCAACAGGGCTCCACCCAGCAAAGATGAAAAGGAAGTGAATGTTCTGGTGGAAGGTCCACCTCAACTGCGCCCTCATCTCTTTCCAAATCTGCCCCTCAAAGCCCGCCAAAGGCCAGGCCCTCCCTGGGGCTGCTCAAGACCACGCCTCCAAGGTACTTAAGTAAGACCTGGTAGCCATATTTGCCAAGTGACCCTTCCTCTGTGACCCTTCCCCTATGGCCCATCCCCCACCTTCCCAAGGGTCACCCAGGATTGCTTTGCTCATCAAACCTAAATTTATTAATTCAGTTTGATTGACTTATTACATCAGCAGCAGGGGAACCCAGCAACTAGGGATTCAAACTTCATCAGTGAAAGGAGCAGGAGGGGCCTGGCTGCCATCAAAGCATTTGAAAAGGAGTAAAAATGACTCACAAGTCCCTTTACACAGCATTGCTGAACAGGAGCAGGTTCAAGGACCATCTTCTACCTAAGGCCACTGTGGAGTTCAGATCATGGCATCAACCCTCCATGGAGATGAGCACATGACTAAATGTGACCTGGCATGGTGGAGAAGGCATTTTCTCAGCTGAGGTCCCCTTTTCTCATAGGACTAATTTGTGTCAAGTTGACACAAAAATTACCTAGCACATCCTACACTTTAAAAAATCAGCAAGAAGCTGGGCACTGGTGGTGCACGCCTTTAATCCCAGCACTTGGGAGGCAGAGCCAGGTGGATCTCTGTGAGTTCGAGGCCAGCCTGGTTTATAGAGTGAGATCCAGGACAGGCACCAAAACTACACAGAGAAACCCTGTCTCAAACAACAACAACAACAACAAAAATCAGCAAGAACAGAAATAAATGAGTTGCCGATACATCTCAAGAATTTGGAAAAACCAAACCAAAACTAAAACCCAGTAGATGGCAAGAAATAATAAAAATAAGAACTGAAATTAAAAAACAGAAACAAAGAAAATAATGCAAAGAATCAATGAATCTAAAATCTGGTTCTTTGAGAAGAGACTCTTGACCCAATTAACCAAACAACAACAATAACAACAACAACAAAAGATGGTTCAAATGAACAAAGTCAAATGAACTGGTAAACATTACAACAGACACATAAAATCTGAATAGTATAAGGGAATGCTTTAAAATCTACACTCTATCAGGTTAGAAAACCCAAAAGAAATGCATGAACTTCTTTATTAAGACAAGTTCCCAAAGTCAGACTGAGAAGAGATCAACAACTTAAATGTAACCAATAAGGAGATGGAAACAGTGGCAGAAAATGTCCTGACTGAAGATCTCTGCCCCAGACAGACAGCCCATCTTCTTAAAGGCTGAGGCCAAATCTCAAAGCTATGCCTACCAACTATGGAATACTGTCTTTCTGGAAGAGCACTTCTCATGCCTATATTGTGTCCTTCTGCAGCATGTTCTGATTAAAGGAGGCGGCCAGACCCTGTCACCAGACTCACAGGTCTGGGAAGACGACTTGAACTGACTTCTCTGTAAGAGATTCCAGGGTGCCTGTTCCTTATGCAGGGCTCTGATGTGACAACCAACTGACTGCAGTTACCTTATTCCTCTATAGGGCTTTGTTGTACAATTACATTTTGTGATGGTTAACATTGTGTTAAAAGTCTTGAAACTACTGAATGAGAGCTAAAACGGTCTTTCACTTGTAAGCCCCTAGCTTGTAGAAATGTACTGTCAACTAACTTGCCTAGGATGGAACAATGGTTCCTTCCTGAAATATTTGGGCTATTTTTGAAAGTGCCTAGGCTTGTAAAATTTTAACTACCTCTGCTGTTCTTGCAAGACAGCAGGTCACAAGACTAACAGCTGGCTCCACTTCTGTACAAAAATGCTTGCTTGCTCAAGATAACCAATTTATCTGCAAGACATCTGTTCCAAAAGTTAAGCCCTGATTACACAAAGACCCCCCAAAATGTAACCTTGTGGTTTTGCCTTTATAAACCCCTGACCAATGTGGCTCTGGGCTGCACCTTCAGAATCCCGAATCTCAGGTGCAGACCTGGTGCTGGTATCTGCTGAATAAAGTCTCTTCTTTATTAAAATTTATGAAAAGCCCGCTGCCACATGGCATGGCAAGTGGACAGAAAACAGAGGCCTTCTCTCTGTGCTGACTGCCAGGTGCCACTATGATGAACAAATATGCAATGGATAAATGGGAGTGGAACAGAAGCTGAGTGGTTCCTGTGCAGTGGAGAGGCACAACTGAAGAGGAGATGGCGGTGAGAAGCACGCTGAGTGAGGTGAGTGGCCTACACTGCCACCTGAGGCTACGTGGTGTCAGGGCCTGTGCTGCCACCAAAGGCCATGTCTGGGTCCATGGCTCTACCATAGCTGAGGTCTGTGTTGAGGTCCGTGGCCTGTGTTACCACCAAAGGCCGTTCAGATGCATGGTCTTGACTGCTACCTAAAGACATGTTGATGAACAAGGCCAGGCTGGTCAGGCCCTGCCACTTGTGGGAGAATTGGCCCCGGATGGCATGGCTACCATGGGGGTCACAGA